TGAGTTAAAATGGACAAAATACTTCAATTCACGGGCATCAAAACAAGAATTGGTAACATTTGCAAATCTCATTTAAATGTGACACTAATGAGCCAACAGCCATTCATAAGATCCATCAATGGACATTCGCCATTTCTCTCCCACAATAACTTTACTTCTCTCATAATTTTATTTTTCTTTCAAAATCTGGGTCAAATTGGAAGTATCAACGCCACTTCAAAGTGAACCAATTCAAAGCTGCAACTTTTCCGATATTTTATTTTGATTACTTTTAAGTAGCATACAAGCAATGACAACTAATTGAGTGAAGAAATGAAATTTACACGGTTGATTTTTTATATTTTATTTTGTTCCCTCCAGTGTTTTAAATTTTTTTTGCACGGTTTTAAATTGGATTTTGTGGTTATGGATTTATGGGGGAGCTTCAGAGTTTGAGTATTGTTGTTTATTCGATTGGACTAGACCAAAACTTTACGTTTTGTTGACAATTTCTAGTTAGAATTTTGCATTGATTAAGTTCTAAACTTCATAACTTTGTTAATTAATGTACATTAACAATAGATACTTACCACTAGACTACCGAGTAAAAATATAAAATTTAAGCGTACACAGAAATACCTGTAGACCGAATATCGGTTGGAATTATGTAATTTAATAGATTTTTTCACTTATGACTTCAATGAAGAAGGTGATTCTTTGACATAATAAATGAACGACGTCAAAATTCAATTCTACAAGACACTCAACTTACTGTACTAGAGCAAAAAGCTTGATAGACACTAATTTAACACCTAAGATAGTAAGAATACCCGCCTCAACTCGCTCACTAGAATATTAATTTATAATTACTTAAGTCAATCATAACCAGCTTGTCAAACAGCTGACTAATTTTCAAAGAAACTCGTAACTTAATGATTTCCATAAGTAACTGTACCGAAAAAAAAAAAAAAAAAAATATGCCTTAATCATCCGGTTACGAAAACTTCGTCCAACTAGCTTCAACATTCAACAGAAGTGCAAGGAATGAAAAGAAAATAATAACAATAAAAGTCAACCAAATAGCTAATATATTCCAGTGTACATTGCTTGGTACACAATTCAGCTTCCGTGTAGTATATTTTAATAGTAAGTTTTTGTACCTCATTTTAATTGTTTGGCGAGAGAAAGACAGAACATTATTTTCACTTCTGTGTGACAGTGCCGATGTTGTCGTTATGGCGAAGATAAATATGCAAAAAGACACAAAAAAAGTTCCTCTTTTGTCTTTTTTTTTTTATTTATTTCTCTCAGCTTAATTGAAACCTCAACAATTTTTTTATTCATTCATTTCGCGTGTTATTTGTTTGTTACCTAATACCCGACAATTACAAATGTGAGCGCATCAATTTCTTCTTCATTAAGAGAGTAGAAGTATGAAAAAAAATCTGTGTTTTTCGCAATTTTTTCTCAGCATGGCTCCGGCAGCAGCAGCATTTAAAGAAACAACAACCATACAGTCCCAGTCAGATCTCTTTACCAGTTGATGAGATGATGGTTGCATAATGTAACTATTTTTTTCGTGTGAGAATTTCTTTGCAACTCGTTTATTTACTTTTTTCCTTCATTTCTTCTCTCCATCATCATCATCATCATCTCGACTTAATGTTTGTTAATGAGTTGACTATTATCATGTAAGTTGATTTTTTCTTCTTCATACTATTTCATTTAGATCTGCTGGCTGCTGCTGTTGCCTTATTTACGTTATTTTATTACTCATTCATACTTCTATATTAGCTACCATATACACCGCACATGCATATCTCTTTTATATGTGCCGTTTGACTCATGAATGTTATGTTGATGATGACGGAAAAGAGATGTCTTCATCATGAAATCGGGTTAGTGATTCTGATGTAATACGTTCGGGTCGATACTACATGCTACATTGTTGTTAAGTTCTGTTGGGAATTTTTGCGAGTTGTGAGGTCTTTCTTGATTGCTATTTATTGTCATGCTTTGTGAGACTACATAGTGTGCAGTATAGACTACATTACTGTTTTCTTATAATTGAGATTTTTGAGTATCGACCGGTAAAAACTAGTTGGAATTAAACTTGCAAGATCATTTTCTGTGCAAATAGAGTTTGCGAGGAAGGAACAAAATGAACTAGAATTAAAATGCAAGACCCTGAGAGTCTTTGTTTGTCACTTTACCATGTAATCCTGGAAATTCTAATTAAATCTAATGCAATTTAAAATTTATATATTAATTAAGATTATCTAATCCAAACAAATCTATCCAATGTCTAATAACTTACACACTGCCAATTAACGAGTGCAAATATGGCTTATTAAATTCTTATTAAGTCCATGAAAATTACCAAATGACTCATGAAATAGTATTAAAGGTTAATCTATAAAATCTTTATAAATACACAAGGATAATAACTTATTCGATGTGTCTTTAAATAAGGAAATGTAATGAGTGCACAAGACAGACGTCTACAAATTGAAACAAGATGCAAAATCGCACAATTTACATTAAATTGACTCAATATATTGAATTATACTTATTACTTCGTTTACATCAATAATAATAAAATGTGTGTAATTTTAATAAATATACTGTTTAGCTTTAAATTGATGTAAACTATTATTGTCGCCTGTGTCATGCATTTAACAATATTTTTAATGTAAAAGTCGTAAAACAGTGCAGAGATAACGATTATTATAGGGAATATTATATACATTGTCATGTGAATCAATTAAATAAAACTGATTAAATTGCATCTTCGAGTCCAGGTGCTGTGCCACATTTTATCTGATGCTCATTGCAATTAAGACTAAAATGAGTGATAAAGGCATTGTGTGTGGGAATGCAATACTATTTTAAGAGCTAAAAGAAATGCATTTAATTTTATTTGCGGTATGTGTGAGAGTTTCGGGTGCAATGGAAGAGAAGATATTGGGATAGGTTCAAGGTTGCAATTTAGTCTGTTGTATGAGGTCGATAATCTTCGAAATAACTATTTTAGTGGTTGCTACCTATGAGCATTGAAGTCTTTGGTATCAACAGGTTGTTGCTTTGCTAGAAATGAAATTTGGAGCCTGCGCAGTCGAGCTTTAGCTTGAAATAGTCGAATATCCATTATTTGAGCGATTTCATGACTTTGATTTTTAAGAGATCTGATGTTCAGGGGGAGTTTAATGAATTAAATCAAAATGCGTAGCAAATTTAAATTTATTTAAGGAGTCAAGTTAAGTTAACACTTAATTTCAAAATAAGTTTACAAATAGCATCAGAATCCAAACTTTATAGAATTTAAATTTATGTTCTGATCCACCTAGATTCTGGTCCAAAAGTTTAGATAATACTAGTCTATAGTCAAAAATTCACTCAAATCTGTCAGAACTTTAAAAACAATTTCATTATACTTCAAAAGCTGTTCTAAATAATTCAAGAAGCAAAAGACTTTTCGAAAATTTTGGGCATGTGGGGTGCTTCTGTTCATATTCTATCATTCTCTTCGATCTTCTACTGTTTATAAGCAGTAAGATTGATAGGTATTAAAATATTTCAATATAAATACTCCCAAAAAATAAAAAAATCTTTCGATCGTCTGCAAAATGAAGAAACTTATAATTATAAGCCTCTAGAGATGCCATAAAAACTCTTAAAATACCAAACATCAAAAGAATCGCAAGAACCCCTACGCTGACTCAACTTTATTCCGCAGAAATCCATCAAACAATTTGAGAGCATTTAAAGAGAACAAGAGAAGAGATTCTTATCAACATAATTAATTGCTTCATCTTATTTCATATTTTATTATTTATTTATTTTTACCATTTTATAAGTTGGCACATCAGCATCAGCCTTGCCTTGACTGTAAGCACAATAAGACTTGTTCAGTCTTCCGCAAATAGATAACGTACATAAAAGAGCAAAAGACGTAATTCTTTTGATTGCTTGATATTGTATGTTGTGGTACAATAATTCTTTGATTACAATAATAATAAAAATAATAATGATGACGATGACGGCGAAAAAAGAAGGAAGAACAATGAAAAAAAAAACTTTTTGAAGCTAAAAATGATGTGGTTTGTAATAGTTCGACTCTATGAACTTCTAACTGTTTATTTCTTTCACTTCTATCTCTTATGCTCATTTCATTCTATTATCTTTTCTTCCTAGTACATGTGCCATTTTCATGTGCCATTGCACATTCTTTGCTCTCACATTAGATTGAGACCTAAAGGGGGATTAAGAATGTTTGACTTTTATGAAGATTGATTTTGTGTCTTGGAATTCCACCATCTTTCTCTCTCTGTCAATGCTCTATGCTTAAATAAAATGAATATACAAATCGTGTCAGAGAGGTGATCATGTCTATAAAACAATTAAATATTCTCACAAGGTCTGCCTTTTTTTTTTGCTGCGATGAGAACCTGTAAAAGAAAGCTTTAAACGTGATGTGCAATTTTGTGTATAGATTCTTCTTCACTTTAATTCTCTGTTATTTGTGACTTTTTGGAACTTAAAGTCTTTTCTCGTCTTCTTTATGCTTTGCTGTTTGAATGGATCATGTCTATTTTTTCGGATCGTTCACTTATGATGTAACAAATTTTGAGAGGGGGTTTCACTTTGAACATAATAAGTTTCTTAAATAACTTTTTTTTGACAAGACATGAGAGGTTTAGTGACGTCATAAACTTTTGACCCCATCTCTTATTTATTCTATATAATATCAAGCTATGCAACGCTGAAAGAATTTTCAGTTTTGGAAAAGAAATGAAACACAGGCAAAAAAATTAAGGTCATTAAGACGATGAACTCTGGTTAATGCCACATACATTTTATTATTCGCTTTGCTTGACTGAGAAATGTTCTCAGAATTGTATAACAATAATAAAAAAAAAAACATAACATAATAAGTAATGTGCTGCGCTTCCATCAACAATGCTTCACAACACATTAATGTGATTTAATTCTAAAATTTCTTTTCATTCTTTTATTTACAGAGGAAATTTCGGAACGGTTCGTCGAGCGACGCATAAAGAAACGGGCATAAAATATGCAGCAAAATTTTTGAGACGCAGGCGTCGGGCAGCATGTTGGATGAAGCAGATCCAACACGAAATAGCCGTGTTGATGCTAAGTGCCGACTCTGAGCAAATTGTTAAACTTCACGCTGTTTATGAAACACGCAGTGAATTTGTACTAATTCTGGAAATGTAAGAAATCTCTTTGCCTATTTGGATTTCCTTTCTCATGAGAAAAAAAATTTACTGCTGCATGCTTTAATTTAATTGAATAAAAAGATATTTCTTGACAAATTATCTCATGAGCACTGAACAGCAGTAACAGAAGTTAACTGAAAAAAAAAAAGCTAGAAACATTTTATTTTGTAGATCCCGTGAATATTTATCTAATCAATCTATCTAACGGCTATAAACAGCGGGCCTCTAATGAATTGTAATAATAATTTAATCATTTAATCTTTTTCTTTCTATGCTTGCGCTTCAGGGCCGCTGGTGGTGAACTACAAACAAAATTAGACGAGGACGGTTCGTTTTCGGAACAAAAGACACGCATTTGTGTACGAGAGGTGCTAAAAGCATTAGAATATTTACATCGACGAAATGTCGCTCATCTTGATATAAAGCCACAAAATATATTGCTCAATACAAATAATATAGAAGGTAATTAATGTGATTTATAAATTGGACTAAATTATGGGTTGTTGGGAATGGCTGTTTGTTGTGTCGAAGTTATCGCCCTTCCTGTATATTTTCTTTGAGTGCTTTAATGAAGTACTTGGATAATTGTAATGAGCTGAGAAATTATACAGTTTGAACTGGATATTATGCTGTGTATTCTAGTGTAGAATTGTTAGATGCAGAGGATTGAAGGCTTTAGATAAGCAGGAACGTGATATTTATGCGTCTTTGCAAGACCGAGCAGCTTATGGATCATTTTGATGCATTAGAGTCGTTTAAAAGTGAAGTCAAATAAACATGATTCATACCTGAAAAGTATCACGTCACGCCCACAAAAGATCGAAACGAGAGCCTTAGTTTATTTGAAACCTAGATATGAAGATTAGAAGTTTGATCCTACATAATACTAATTCATATGTATACAAATACAAAAGTGTAAAATGTGAATTATTCCCGGACAGTATGTCGTCAATAAATGCAATAAAGTGCAATTAAAAAAAATGAAAAAATATGCTACTCGGGCATCGCGTAAGAAAATCAAGCGAATAAATAATTTTCACGATTTTCGCTTATAATTACAAATAGTTGCATATTCACCACGACTTTATGTAACAATGAGCTTTTATTCTTTCATATAACTTTGTCCTTAAACTACATTAAATTGGGAAGGTTAACAAAAAAATATATTTCTTCTCACAGATTATTTAATAATATATAAAAGTGGAAGAAATATGTAACAACACGAGAGACTTTGAAACTTCAAACAGCTTAATGATGTTTTCTTCACTAATCCATAAAATACTTTAATATTATTTTTTTTGTTGCTTGTTCCTAATCCACAATTAATATTTACAGATGGATTAAAACTCTGCGATTTTGGATTTTCTCGAGCTATTGAAGGAAATAGAAATATATGTGAGATTCAAGGCACACCTGATTATGTGGCACCGTAAGTTAATTGATATTAATTGTGATTATTGAACTTTTAATTAATTTCACATGTTTATTCTTTTATTTCCATTTACATTTATATAGTGAAATAGTTCAGTACGAGCCATTAAGTTTAAAAACAGACATTTGGTCAATCGGTGTCCTAACGTATGTTCTCCTAACCGGCTACAGTCCATTTGGCAGTGATGACAAACAGGAGACATTCCTGAATATTTCAAAATGCCATCTTACATTTCCCGATGATCTGTTTAGTACGGTGTCTGATGATGCCATCGATTTCATCAAGTGCACGTTGCGACTTAAATCATAGTGAGTATTTTATAACATTTGAGGGGAATATTGGATCTATTAGAATGTGATGTCACAGCTACAGACTACTGCTCCACATTGATTCATATTACAGTTTCTAAAAGTTTAGCATAAGATTTTAGTAATCAAACCTTATTCATAGGGTCTGGATAGTCCATCATACTGATAGGAGTGTCCGATAAAATCCAATTTTGTGAATGACTTCATGTTTAAGCAACGTCTATCAAAACTAAGAAGAGTTGAATAAAATTACTTAATTTTATAGTCTTCTTGAACATCCCGTGCCTTTCCTTTCCTCTCTCTCCATTTCTGCTTCGATTATGAACTTTTATATGCTTGCTTCTTTGCCTCTCTTCATGGTCAATACACAATACAAATATGAAATATTTGCTTTAATTTTTCTCCATTCTTTCTCTCTACATGTGTCTATAAATGGATTTTTTTTTGCTGCTTTGTATGTGAGGCTTTTTAACTATTAGCACTCGAAATAGTAAAGCTTCCGTTAGGTTACTTTATGATTCAATCATTAGAACTTCTTCTTTTTACTACAAAATAGATAATAACCTGCTAATTTGTTTTTATTTTATTTCGTTTTTCAATTCTTTTTACTTTTTTTTGACGATGATGATGATGATGATGTTATGCCATGCTACTGTACATAAAAAAGTCTATATTTCTCTCTTAATGGTTTTCAATTATAATCATTTATGTTCTAAAGGGGAATAATATTCGATCTTTAGGCTGTCTTCAGGCAAAAGAAAGAAAGAAACAAGCATAAAAGGTTCATTTGCTGTGGGATTAGATTTTAGAAACTGTTAATTTCATTGTTTGTTGTTTGAGAAAGTAAGAAGTGTCCAGTAAAGACAGATAATAGCAGGTGGGACGATTAGATTAAGGTTGATTCTGTTGACAGCAGTTAGGTTGTGATTGTTGTATGTTTTTGGGATATTAAGACATTTTGTGGGAGCTTTCTGAATCAAGTGTTGGATTTCTCTTGAATTCTGGGCTGATCAAGTGTGTTTTGAGCTTTAAAACCCCCTTTAGCTACTCCTTTTGGACTGGCAAAATAATTGTTGAGTCATGGCACATCTTATTTGTGTTCTAGAAGCTAAAATTGACTTTGACAACTGCCTGCTTACTTTTAAAAGCAAATCTTTTACGTAACTTCTTAATAAATCGATTACTTCCGCAAGAATCACTAAAACAGCTCGAATAACCATATTCCAACACAAAAGATCAAGTAATGTGTCATCAAAAGCTCACAAAAGCCTTAAGCTCTAGTAAATTTCAAGGTCTATTCCTTTTAAGTCAGAAATTATTTGATGACATCATAATTATTCATTAATATCGGATATAATATCTTTTTTTGCAAACACATGAATTTATTGTACTACTAAAGTAACAAAATGCTGGCATTATGAATGGATAGACAACGATTTTAAGGGCATTGACTTAACCAGCATTTTCTGACTTTTTTTGCAACAAAGCAATTTAAAAAAAAAATCTTATCAAAAGCTATGCGAACAATTGAGAATGTCAATGACTTTACACCTAGATACTTTGCGAACCTAAATGTCAGACAACGTTCTGAGTTAATTGAGTGAATCCGAGAAAATAAAAATCATTTGACGTTCCGGAATCGTTAAGGGCTTACAACATTCACAGTTCTAACTGTTAAAAAATTTCATACTTAACTTTGTTTGGAAGGAATTTGACAAGCTCTGCTGGTACGAACAAGATCAACACTTAGTGCTTTTGCGAAAATTTTGATTCTTTTACATTTCCTGATACAGTTGGAATTTAATTCACCGCCATGGCTTATGACTGATCATTACCGTAAAGAATGCTCCAATTTTGAACTTTTGTACTTGCCATTTACCTGTCTCGAAAGGAGAGGAAAGAAGAAGTTTACCACAGACTACACATTGAAGGAAATTTTTTGCTAAGTGGCAGTGCCGATTCGCATCATAATTCTTTCATTATTCTTCTTTTATTAAAAATATTATTGTTTATTGTTCTGCTTTGTTAATTCCTGACTTTTATACACTCTTCTTCTCTATCTTTTCATAACTCAGGTTTTTCATGTTTTTGAGGCATTTTCCTTTTTGGGATGCAGTTTGTCTTCAGACTACAGGAACTATCCCTTATTGCTGCTTCCAATTTTGAAGCCAAACATTTTGTCTGCTTCAAAAAAAAAATACCCGCCAAAAAATATTTGAAAAATAACAGTCAAAATGAATTTGAAAAAATAGGGTAAATGACTTTGAAATTTGCGCACTCGTATGAAAACGAAAATTTTAAAAATTATATCTGAAAATTGCACTTCTGTTCAGACGATCAATGGGAAATGTCTGCAGAACACAAGCACAGATGTTTTTTCATAATTGTTAGTGGTCTTAAGGCACTAGATAGCTTAATAATTTATTACCAAAAACTCCCATACAAAACTTAAATTTTTTTACATTTTGATTTTGAGATGCATGCATTAGTATAGATTAAATTTGAGTGCCTATTAAAATAACGAATTTTAAAATTTCGAAACTTCATTTTTACGAACTCACATTTTTACGACCATATCATTTTTACGAAAAATTATTTTTTCGACTTTTTTTATAAATTTCAAATTCTAAAATGTCGTTAATTTCATCACGTGTTCTCTTCAATAATAAATCTGCAAAAAAAGATTACTGGGGGTCCTCGATTTGAGTAGATTCTATTTGAGTAGATTCGATTTGAACAGAAAATTTTTTACCCACCAAAATATTCGATTTGAGTAGATTTCTTCCTGTTTTCTTCGATTTGAATTGTTTACAAAACAAATATTTTTGATAAAAACATTTCAGAAAATATTTTTAAAACATAAATTTTACTGCAATAAGCGTGAACTTATCATATTGATCGAAAAATCAATACTAAAGTTACGAAATTAAAGTAAAAATTTAAAAAATCGATATAAAATTAACGGTTTTAAAAAGTTCAAATTCAAAAACCCTACAAATTGTTCGGTAAAATAACATTTGCAAGGCTCTCATATTTTTGTTTTGTTTCAAAAACAAATTTTTTGTGAATTTCTGTTTAAAAACAATATGAATATGCGTTGAAATAAATTAAGGTATCAAAAACACATAGGAAAAGCTAAGAAACGAGGTAAAATGTGCAAAAAATTATCAAAATTTTCATTGTTTTGATACATTTTTTGGACTCTGGAACAAAACATGTGATTTTGTATGGATTCTTTGCCTCGATTTGAATAGATTCGATTTGAGTAGAATTTTTTTGGAACAAAACAACTACTCAAATCGAGGACCCCCAGTATTAGAACAAATGTTTTTAAATGTATGGAATTAAAACGTTTTTTTTATGCAATATCACATTTCATGGACTACATGTATGTTTAAAGGAGTAACAAACTTTCAACTCGTGGCACGGATTTTCGACGGTTCAGGATTGATTTAATGGAATTCTCTGTCTTTTCAAAGGCTGGAAAGCCACAAAAGCATAGAATACCAGGTTTTGAAAAGACAGAGAATCCATTAAATCAATCCTGAACCGTCGAAAATCCGTGCCACGAGTTGAAACATTAAAGGCTATTGCAGTAGTCAAAAATGATAAAAGAGCTAAATTGTGTTTGTTACTCCTTTAAACATACACATAGACCATGAAATGTGATATTGAATAAAAAATACGTTTTAATTCCATACATTTAAAAACATTTGTTCTATTAATCTTTTTTGGGATTTATTATTGAAGAGAACACGTGATGAAATTAACGACATTTTAGAATTTGAAATTTATAAAAAAGTCGAAAAAATAATTTTTCGTAAAAATGATATGGTCGTAAAAATGAAGTGTTCGTAAAAATGAAGTTTCGAATTTCTGAAATTCGTTATTTTAATAGGGACTCATTAAATTTTGGTATCAGAAAATGCACAATGATTCAGATTCGGAAAAAATGTTCAAAAATTCCTTGTGCACAATATTTTTCCAACACATTAGAAAATTGAAAGTTTTTGTTAATTTCTCTTGATTTGAATCTTTTAGCATCATCTACATAATGTTTTCGTTCATTGCTCAAAAAATTAGTCCCTAATATAAAGGATAAACATGATTTTTTACCAAAAGTTTGTAAAAGTTTATCAAAAAATATTGTGCATGATCAAATTTTGTATGAAAATTTATGTAAACTTTGATCGCAAATATCTCGAAAACGGCATCAAACGGCATGTCCTCAGTAATATGGGAGATAGATTTTAACTTAATTAATGGATTTATATAGGCTTCAGAGAGGTCTTTGGAAGACTTTTTAACTTATGAATAGTTTAAGTAGTGTAAAAATACTCAGATTTCAATTCCATTTTTAAGGCTTAATACGCAGATTTCTATTGAGTTGGTTGTTTTAGTATGTAAAGCTAAGCTTAAATTAGCTAGTAACTGCTTCCAAGACATCCAAATAACAACTTAAAGTAGAAAAAATCATATTTTTTTTTTCATACACAAATTGTAAACAAATTTTGGGTGAGATTAAATTAATGATTTCTGGAGTTAGACATCAAATTGGGACGAGATATTTTCATAGGATATGCCTCAAGTTAAGATCTTTAATCTGGCATTTAAAGGACATAGTTTAATTAACATGAAATTTTTGAATTTTTGAACATTTTTTTCGATTCTGAATCATTGTGAAATGTAGATCTGACATTGCTTAAAATTTTTCAAATGGTTCCAATTCAAAATGATGCCTGGAACTGCTTTAAAATTCATTTTTAAAATGGCTTGTTTTTGAACCTTTAAATTTGCGCAAATTTCAAGGTCATTTACCCTACAACCCTTTTTGAATTTAATTTGACAGTTATTTTTAAAATTTCAAAATGTTTATATCTGTTTTACATCAGTAAAATGCGTATTCATGCCTTACTTTAATAGACATTTCAACTAGCTTCATCATATTTCGTTATTATTACTTTTCTGTTGTGCAAAAATTATCTGCACTACTGGTCACATATCAACGAAATAAGTATAAAAAAAATTATTATTCTCGTTCCTGTGGCATGGCGAGAAAATTTACAGTTGCATTTGTAGATGGGAAAAAAGGTCACATAAATGTCAATTGGCGAGAGAGTGAATGGAAGGGATTTAATTCCTCTACAAACTCCTATATAAGTTCTTTATGCATTTTATTGAACATTTGCTGCTTTCATGACTAGTTTCATTTTTGCATTTAAAGCCACACACATTTGAGTTTGGCGATTATGGGAACAAAATATTGTTGAAAATGCAACTAAATCTGCTTTGAATTGCAAATGAATGTTATGCCTTTTAAATAATTAGCATCTGATGATTCTCTCTCTCTCGTTGTGTTGACTATTTTGTGACAAAACAAAGCAAATTGATCATGGATGCGATATTTGCAAGGGCTTGTTATGCAATGTTCGTTAATCGCGATGCAATGTCAAGAATTAAGTAAATTCTCTCTTTTGTGTGCTTCATTTGAGTTATTTGGGATTTAAATTTTTGTGGCATTATGTAGTTTGTGCTGATGATTTCATTTTCTGTGCTGAATAATCACTACAATGTTTTACTATCGGAAGCACAGAATTTGAATTTTAACCGAAGTCTAAAATTTGAATTTTAACGGAAGTTCAAAATTTGAAACTTTTGAAAACCAATAAAATTCAAATTTTTGAAAGCTGTTAAAATTCAAAAATTCAATGACCGTTAAATGAACCAAAATTTAAATTGACTTTTTTTCTGAAAATAAAACAATATTAATTGAAAACAATTTTCATTTTTTAATCCACAGTGATCGCCTAAATGTAGCCGGATGTTTAAATCACAAATGGCTTCGAAATGAGACACCGTTTATTGAACAGCACTTACCACAAATCTTAACCGTACAAACATCAACAAATGTGACAGTAGTTAAAACAGATGAGGATTCTGTCGAAACGATAAATACAAAATGTACAACAATTGTGACCCAATCGAATAATGATGATGAGAAAGAAGATAATAATAGTAAGAAATATTTGACAAATGGCAAACATGTCAATGATCACGTAAATGAGGAAGACAAGGAGAATTCAAGAATAAAGAAAATTATCGAATCGCAAGATATGACAGCAACGATAACGACACAAGTCACGATACCATTTCAACATACCACATCAGCAACAAAATTAGTATTGGAGAAATCATCATCCATATCACTGTTTCCCGATGCACCGACAACGCCAAAAGTATGCCGTAAAATGATATATGAGGACGAAGCGGAACTTAAAGAGCTAATAGTAAAGAAATATCACACAACGACATGCTGCGATGATGAGAGTGTCGGCGAATGTCTTGTATGTCATCCAAAAATGCCAACGCTTGAACTTGATAAAAGAATCACGTCATGTTGAATGAGCACAGCTACGTAGTAATCATGCGATCATAAAAAACGTTTTTATGTCCACATCATTCATAAAAATATAATTAATAATAATTCATATTAAATTGAAGACATTTTTCGCTTCACACATACACACACACATCGACATCATGTAAATACTTTTATTTCCTTCAATAGATTATAAGTCTGCAAGATTTTAATTTTTTTTCGATTCAATTTAATTTAATTTAAAAATAATTTAATTAATTTAAAAAACAACAACAACAACAAACAATTTATTGAGAAATCGTGTCTCCTCTTATCCTTTCCTTTGTCTATTTTTCTATTTCATTTCCCTTTAAATTTCACTTTTGAGTGCGTGAGAATTTTTAAAATAAACAATTTTCTCTTCAATTTTTTTTTTTGTTAATTAAAGATTGTCTTTTAGTTTTGAGTGATTAGGGATCGTCCCTTACTGTTTTCACTTGTTTCGATATCCACACTTGGCCTTTTTCAAAACATCTTTAAGATAGTAAATTATTAAAAAGAGTAATTAAGAGATTTGTAAGAAAAGAAAATAAATTAAAAAGGTTTAAAATTTGAGATTTTTTGAGTTTGTCATAATTGAGAGCTTTTGAAGGTTCTGGTACTAGAATTGGTTCAAATTCAGTAGTTCAGTAGGTATAAAAATTAAATTTGAATTATAAATTTTTAAAATCAATTTCAATTCAATTAAATCGGATGGCTTAGTTCTAATCCTGAAGATTAAATATAAATCTTCAAGGTTTGATTTTGATCTTACGGATTAATCTTCAATCCTGAAGATTAAAAGTGTTGATCAGATGGATTTAAATTAAATCTTCCAAAATCTGAAGCTTAATTGATGCTTTTCTGACTTTTTATTTTGAACCTACCACGAATCAATCTAAAGCTAGTTCCACAGCCCTTAAAAGACCACAACTAATCCTGACAACTATAAAAATAGCAAAAACTAGCTTCAAGTTTAAAATAAAGTTACAAAAAAAAAAAACTTAATCAGCTTTTTCGTGCCTCGTGCTTTAAATGCACTTACTAAAGACAGTGAACTTTTCCCGCAAAAAAATGACAAAATTTAAATATACTTAAAATGCCTTCATTACTTGCAACTATAAAAGACATTCAATGAATTTAGACTGATTTTTTTTTGTAAAAAGTGAATGTAATTGCACATATTTCATCACAAATTAATGATAAATGTCACATCCTCTTATTCCTATTCCTTGAGTCCCAATTTGAAAAAAAAAAACCAAAATTTTCACGGTGCCAAAACTTTCCAACTTTTCCTCCCCAAAAATTCTTTCCTGCCTTAAAAAATGATTTTTTTACTGCGAATTTGAAGATTTACAATTAAGAATTAATTGAAAAAAGTTTAATTAATACAAAAAACATAAATCACATCATGAAAATGCCTAAAAGATGAGAAGAGCATCTCCAGCAGATGAAAATAAATTAAATTAAACAAATATTTTGTAATTCAAAGTAGTTAAAGCGCAATAAAAAATTTTGTCTTACAAAAAAAGAGTCACAGCATTAAAATTACTTATTTTTATGTCCAAAATGTTTCAGTGAGCTTTCAAGGACGTCATAAAATATATTGTGCCATGTCAACGTGATAAGCTTTTTGATAGGAACCTTTAGGAGTAAGCAAATAAATTCAATTTGATTGACTGACTTTGTGTTTTTATTTTGGGTGGTAAAACTTTCATGGATGGGCTGTAAAATGCTTATGATCGTGTGCTTATAATATTCAGGAAAAGGTTTTGAAATTTATTTTGAGTACTTTTTGAAGGAAAATAATTTAAATTACTTACTGATAAACAGACTGACAGGTGTTGCATGGAAATAACAAATTTTAAGGTAAACTTCAATGAGATCCACGTTTATAGAGGATAAAAGGTTGTCGAATTAATAATATTTTTTATTTTAACGGTGTTTGAGAATCTGAATTTCAACAGCTCTTTTGAACTTGAGTTCTAACGGCTTTTGAGATTTTGAATTTTTTGAATTCAATCCGTTGTAGAGTTTGCTAAATTTCAACTTCAAAATTCAAACATTTGTAGACTTCTTTTCAAAAGTATTAAATTATTGCAACGACATTGATAGAACTGAGTGGAACTAGACCACAAATCACCCTTGGATCCAATACTTTCTTACTCCTGTCTTTGCTACAAAATGTTTTAGAATTTAAACCTTTTTGATCTCTCCCAACTTCATTAAATGCAACGTGTTAACAAGAAAAATGCGCAATTGCTCAAAACTTCCAGTGCCTTCCTCACAATTCTTTATGTGCAACAATTAATTTTACTTTTTCTTTCAGATTTTTTAAAAACGAGCAATAATTTTTGGCCATAAAAAAGGCATAATAATAAAATATTGACATTTTTCTCATACCCATGGATTCTCATTATTCCCGTTAATATATTGAATATTTCTTATTTATTATGCAATGCATAAATTTGTCACATCTTACGATCTTAAGTAATTTCAATTTCCTTGAAAGAATTTTTTTGATCGTTAAAGTTAACGGAAAATTCAAATTTGAAATGAGTACATTTTTTGAAACGCAGATGGTGCACAAATTCTGGTGCCTTAACATTACTTTGTCGTGTATTCAGCCAAAAATAATCAGTCTATAAAGTTCGGCAAGCAAAATACAACGTAGATACTAAAAATATTAATTATAAAATGAATTCGCTTAGACGAACAATTCAAATTGCACCAAGATTGACATCTACAGTCAGGTAATTAGTCTAGATTATTAAATCAACAGGAATGGAACCAAAAGATGGGTAAAGTTGTGAAATTCACGGCCGGTAAAATTGTTCTCGGTTTTTTCTGTTATATAATGACAAATTGAAGGCATAAGACTTGCTTGTTTACATTATTCATAGACTAGGTCTTAAAATAATTGCAGGCATAGATTACACAATCACTTTGCAGCTTACTCAAATAAAATTTCTATTAAAATTACGTTTTACACGATTTTCTTCTATCTCTTTCCATTCCACTCGATTGATCGAGAGTCTTCTTCTTGCTTCCTACATACATACTTTGTTGACAGCAAGTAAAAAATAAATTTTTAAAGACGATAAACAAAAACCACGAGCCAATATAGTATTTTTAACCATAATTATGATAAACACGTTGTATTTAATTAGTGTTCCTGTACTATTTACGATCTATTTAAATGCTAATGATTGACTGGTAAACATCCAGTTAAGGATGTTCTGAAAAGTCTAATTAGATCAGAATCTCAATCAAATCTTAATTACTTTTGCAGAATGATGGGTCATGGTCCATCTGATCACGATACAGCAGGTTCAATTCGTAGCGCTGGAGGAAGCTTTGCTAAGATGGAAATTGCTCATGAAGAAGAATATTTCTACAACTTGGTAAGTTCTGAATCCTTTTATGTTCACTGGATCTTCTGTAGCTCTTTTAGTGAATCATTTTGGACCATAATTTATCTATCGAGGAGGCATAACTGAAATTCTTATGTTGATTTGTGGTTCAACTTTCTCTTTTTGAGTCTCAAACCAGTTTGTTTTCTATTATCATTGGATCTTTTAATTTAATTAACTGGATCTCCTTTATTCCATTTTCAGCGCAAGGATCAACTCCATAAATTGAAGGAAAAGCAAATGCATGAACTCGAATTCAGAGAGAAGGCTATTAAGGATCATGAAGATGCAATCAACAGACATAAGGTTGCTATTAAGGAATTAAACAAGCAAAAACATTAAGCAATACTATATTCAACCCTTCCCTATTGTGTGTGCTGTAACTTAACTAAAGACACAATCAATTCCATCACAAAATTGTTCAAAATCAATAAACAAAACAAAAAATATATTTTTCCACACTAACAAGGAAGTTAAACACAAAATCTATTCGGATATGAAATAATACAGATACAGAAAATAATTTGGATGTGATCCTACAACTGTGCTTAGTGTTTAGTCCACAAAACAATTACTTAAACTGCATTTTTCTTTATTACAGACCGAATAGAATCTTAAGTATCAAATATCTTGCATTTTTGATGGAATTTAGTAGTTTCAACAAATGATAAATTTTCAGTAATAAAAAATGAAATAAAATGTAAAAAAATTGTGTTCTATTTTATAATAATGGCAGCTAGAGAGCTGTTTTCAGGGGCAGTTGTAAAATATTGATTATTTTGAAAAATAACTGTCATTTGAGATTTGAATTTTTTTGTGTTCAAAATTCAAGTTCAAATTTTTGAAAACCGCTATAATTCGAATGTCAGAAAGTCGTTAAAACTCAAATATCAGAATGTCGTTAAATCTTCTGAAACAGAGTATAATTAACGCCCGCAATCTCATTAAGCATAGAAAAACAACACGCGCTGATATTCTATGGCTGCAACTTAAAGATAAAAATACCTTATCTATTTTGGTCCCTAAGTTCAAACAAAAATAAATGTTCTAGAATGACCCACATTATTCAAACTTTAATTTTTTGAATTAATCCTACAATCCGCAACAATCGAGGATACAAAAAAAAACTTATAAAGCAGCATTATGATTCAATAAAAATATTTTTTATTATTTCAAATTTATCTTAAAGTTTTGTTTTGTATTATAATCTATTTACTTATAAGTTCAAAGACGAGAGAAGAAGAAAAAAAAACAAATTTGAGGTTTTAAAGCTTAAATACATACGTAACATTAAAATTCGCAATGATTAAATAAACTGCGTTTCCAGCTAGATTTTACGAGATTTTTTTCTTAAAGTTTTCATTAATATTCTGAGGTATTAACTTAAATGTAAGCCAATTTGCTAGTCAAGAACTGTCAATTCTCAAAGCTAGTTCCAATATCTTCTCTATACCGAATAAAAATACTTTTGCTGTGTATATAAAACAAAATAAAAATAATTAATAATCTGAGCACAAGTTAGAAGAGGAAATACAGCATTAATAACTTTTTTAATCTAATATCTCTCAATAATTAATATTCGATTGGGTTTGGATCTTTTGGTTTTCGTGAATATTTTAGTCCTAATTTGTCACCAATTTCGTCAATGACACTTAATGCGTAGTCAAGTTGGTCTTTGGAATGCGCTGCTGATAAACAGAAACGAATTCGTCCTTCCATGATTGGTGTGGCTGGAAAACCAGCACCTACTACTGCTATGTTTCTTGTTGTCAATGTTCTTACAACGGCACTAAAATTAGGAATATAAACAGTTAAAAGCATTTTTTTAACGGTTAAAGTTTCATTCAAAAAGTATTTTTTTGATTGGTGAATTTTTAAATATTTTTTGACAGTTAAATTCTGTTATTTTTAAAACATTATTCAAATCATGACTTTAAATAGTCAATATAGAAATAAATCACAGAGCAAAGTCCTCTAAAGCAAGCCATAAATTGAATATGAACATACAAAACTAAAAACAGAACGTCAAACTCAAAATATTTTGAAGTATTTTCAACAGAACTTGTGAATAAAACAGAGGAAGGAATTACAGTAAACAAGAGTATTATATGACATAATAAAGATAAGGCATAACTGATTTCACAATTGACATTAGTTCACATTATCTTAAAATAAGTTTACACCTCCCACGTGAAAATTATAAAGCAATCGAATTGTGTGAATTTCAAGCAAATTTTCCACCTACATTACCTTTAATTAAACCGTAAATCTATTAAGAGTGCAAAAATCGTGATACTTCCATTATTTCACTATCGATCGGTCTTTCAATATCAAAATGAATCAGCATAAATACAACAAGAGGCAATAATAGAATTAATACGGCAATCAACATTGCACTAAATTAATTATTTAAATACAGTCTGTTGCTTGTGACTTGAATATTCATGTATAAGACATGACAGTTACATATTTGATATAAAATATAGATCAATTAACAGAATTAATGACATTTTTTTATAGCACAAAAGTAAATAAAATAAAATATTAATTTTCTTGGAAACCTGTCGAGTTTGTCATAATTTGGAATTTGTTGAATTTTAATTAAAGCTCTAAATTGAAATTTTATATTTTTGAACTTTAAATTAACGGTTTGTAGGTATTGAACTTTAAATAATTAAAGGCTCAGTAAATTTTGAATTTGAATTTAACGGTTTTGTAAATTTTTGAACTTCAAATCATAGGTTTTGTAGGTTTTAAACATCAAAATAACGGTTTTTCATCACTCACTCTACTAAATAGGATTAAATCATCAAATCCCTTAAAATGTCAATCTAAACGAAGCTTCACAAATAATTCACAGCACTAAATTAAAAATCGTGCACGAAAATCCAATAAATGTTGGATTCCGTCAGTAAAACCGTCATAGCGTGTAAATGCCAAGTGAGAACAACAATAATCAAGAATTTATGACTAGACTTACCCAATTTTTGAGAACAAGTAAACGAGCATAGGAACAACGGGTGAATCTTCATGTCCATAAGTAATAACACCGATTTGTGCTAAACGTTTTCTAAAATATCTTGTATTTCTGGCTAGTTGGTCAATTCTCTTTTTACCCTCATTTGTTCCATCCAATCCCATAATAATCTTCATTGAGGTCAGAATTTGTTGTGTTACGGCTGGTGCCATTGAACTTGCATAACAATGAGCATGACTATTAGCTCGTAAGAAATTGATTAGACTTTTTGAGCCAGCGATGTAGCCTCCAGCCGATCCAAAGCTCTTCGTAAATGTTCCCATTAAAATATCAATATCTTTTGGATCAACACCATAAAAGTCTGTAACTCCACGTCCATGTGAACCAGTTGCACCAATACTGTGGGCTTCGTCCAAATAAATATATGCTCCATACTTTTTCTTGATTTCAACAATTTGAGGCAGTTTTACAATCGATCCTTCCATACTAAATACACCTTCCAAAATAATTAGTATCTTCTTCCATGGCTTGCCATTCTTCTGTCCATATGCAATTGAGTCTACAATAACTTTCTCCATATGCTTTACATTATTGTGCTTATAAACTTTAATTGTTGCTCCTGAAAGCCTTAATCCAAGAATAATTGAGGCATGATTCTTTTCGTCAGACACTACGAGACATCCAGGAGATAATAATGATGGCAGATTTAAGGCATTTGTTGCGAATCCCATTCCAAAAACAATAGCATCTTCAACACCAAAGAACTTTGCTGTCAATTCTTCTAATTCTATATGTAAAGCATTTGTTCCTACAAAGATAGAAAATATTGAACATAGACGTATAGGAATGTCGTAACTCAATAAAATGTGATAACGAAGCTATGACTCACAGCTGTATCAACATTGTTTTAAGCAAATAAACTCAACGTACCCAATTCCCTGCGCGCATTACATGTAGCTATTCCATACTTTTCTATTGACTTAATTGAATCCTCAGCACATGGTCCTGATGTTTGTGCAAATCCCAAATAATTGTACGATCCGAGATTCAGACATTTCGTCGTGGTTCCAGTGAACTCAAAGCTCCATCCAAAATCCGGTGTTATTCGGTCTTTAAGCACAAGTGTATCAGCTGGACAGCTACAAATTGGTCGATTCCAGCAATCCTTTACACGACGATATACGTAACGGAGATAAAATCTTTCGAAGGAATCAAATAAAGGAACATATCCATCGCGGTTCTTCTCAGTTGCGACTTTAGGTTCGAAAAATAATTGATTTATATAGCCAATAATCATTAACAAATAAAAGCCAAAGTATGTGAGGCAGGCAGTGATAAGAGGTGCTTCCTCAAAACTTTCTTTGGAATCATGAATACTTTTGTACTTGTCAGTTGCTACATTGTTGTCCTGGAAGTTCAAAAAATACAAAATGAATTAATTTAGATGCAAAGATATCTCTTGACATGAATGTTAATCAAGTCAGGTCTTTTTTGTGCGACATACATAGAAACATACGGAATGTCATTAATATTAATGACGGTCATTCATGGATGATAAGAATCATAAAAAACAAATTTCACCGGAATTAATTATATTTCGAGAAAAATAAGTGTTGATTCAAATCACAGAGCTATTTTAACAGAATATTGTCAATTGCACGAGATAATTCAATCATAATTAATGGGATTTTAGAAGGCCACTGTGCTGTATAGGCATAAATTTGATGACTTTTTTTTTTTGGGTGTTGCTTATTGATTTTTCATGAATGGAAATTTCACTTATTTTTGACATTAATTATTGTACTTACTTGATGTTCATTCGTTAATTTACTTTTAATGATATTTTCACTGCTTCTGTATCCGTTTGTATGGTGTATTCCATTCTTTTTTGGTTCAATATCGCTGTTTACAAACTTACGGTTCTTCATTGCGCTATTTTGTCACGTATTCAGGAACGATTGACGAAAACTCCTTCTGTTTCTTACACCAACAATGATGGTGAACCGATGACTGCACAATAAATTAAGGAAAACAGCGAATTGACACAAGAACAGCAGAATTAAAATAATTATGTGCTGTTCTAGCTTCTTTGTTTGTGTGTGTTAATTTCTATTAGTATTGGTGATGGTGCGTTTAGAAAAAATATTCAAATATTTTACGACCGTTGTATTTATTAGCAAATAAAGTGGCTCCAAAACAAAGTTTGTATTCATTTAACTTGATATTTTAGATCCTAGTTTAACGCCACAATAGTCTTAATTTGATGCATTCCTTAACTGTCAGCTGCTTCCATTGACGAGAAAACATAAAGGTGTGTTTGAGTTTAAATTCTTACCAAATTTGATTAATTTGAATTTTTAATGACTGTTATGTTTTTAAAGATTCCACGTTGATCGAAAAAGTGAAAAGTTTGTCAAAAATTCAGCTTATATGCTTATGTTGTAGACATTGGTCCCTAGTTTATGTACATATTGGTTCCTAAAAGTTGAAAAAAGTTTGAAAAAACTAGGTTTTTTGTAATTTTTTGGACCTCATGACTATATCAGGCTTTTTAAATATTTTTAAATTGCAGTATTTTGTAGATCTCATCTATATCTACAAACATCACATGCATAATCTACAGATTTTATGTAGTTTGATTAGTAAAAATTAACTTTAAAGTCAAAAATTTGCATATTTTTTGTTATATTTTCAATTGTGATCCACTGTCCATGTCCGGCTCTTAAATTTTATTTCATTAATTTGTAGACTCTAATATGCTCTATCAATTAATGCAATAAGTAAAAAGAATCACTTGCCGGATAGCTTTAAAATATGAGCCTGAAGTTGGTCTAGTGAGGTATCTCAAAATTCAAAATGAATTTTCACATACCAGTCTTAATGAAAGGAACTGAAATTTTCTGGTTTTATTCAAAAAACAATGCACTTAACATCTGCATCAAAAGTTTTTAATTAAAAACACAATTTTGTCCAAAATTTAGGCAAAAAGTGATATATGATGTTATGAAACCATTAAATGCTCAATAAAGCTACTTTAACTAGTTAAAATCAAAACATTTCTGCAATTTTCATAAAGTTCATTTAAAAAGCTTTCCAATGGTATATAATAAATCACATAAATATGTAATTTCTAGTAAATATCATCAAAGTTTTAAAAAATGTATCAAATTTTACCGAATCTGGAAACCTATGCTTGACATTTTTGCTTAGAACCATTGTAAATCTTAAGCATATGCAATAATTTTGGTATTGTTAGAAAGCTTAAAGTAGTGTAGATGTATTTAAAAAGAAATTGAAGCTCATTAGCAGGTAGGAGAACAGATATGCTAGGTTCAATATGTCATACTTTGACTGCCACTACTAGGCACAAAGGTCATTCCACTTTTAGTTTTTGGACTTTTTTCTATAGATCTATGCTAGAAATATAATATAAATTCCATAGAAGTAGTTTTTCATGGTTGACTGAAACAAAATTGTCTGAATAAAAACCTTAAAATTTGCGATTTTTTGATTAAATGCATTTACTGGCATTACTACTATTTTACTATTTTACTGAAATTAATATCAAAAATCTACTTTTATGATTTTTACTAGAAATTACAAATTTATATGACTTATTATACACCATTAGAAAGCTTTTTAAATGAACTTTATGAAAATTGCAGAAATGTTTTGATTTTAACTAGTTAAAGTAGCTTTATTGAGCATTTAATGGTTTCATAACATCATATATCACTTTTTGCCTAAATTTTGGACAAAATTGTGTTTTTAATTAAAAACTTTTGATGCAGATGTTAAGTGCATTGTTTTTTGAATAAAACCAGAAAATTTCAGTTCCTTTCATTAAGACTGGTATGTGAAAATTCATTTTGAATTTTGAGATACCTCACTAGACCAACTTCAGGCTCATATTTTAAAGCTTTCTGGCAAGTGATTCTTTTTTCTTATTAAATTAATTGATAGAACATACTAGAGTCTACAAATTAATGAAATAAAATTTGGGAGCCGGACATGGACAGTGGATCACAATTGAGAATATAGCATAAAATATGCAAATTTTTGACTTCAAAGTTAATTTTCCAAAAAATGACAAAAAACCTAGTTTTTTCGAATTTTTTTCAAATTTTAGGAACCAATAATATATGGATATTTATAAAAAAGTTCTTACTTGTATCTATCAAATAAAAAAGGCTTGAAGACAAACGGATAAGTAGGTGAAGCACAATAGCATTTTAAAATAAAAATTACGTGAAGTACAAAAATTCGAACCCTCTTTTATCGTGGACCAGGCACTTCCGGGGGAAAAAAATTATTTTTCCCATAAACTAGGGACCAATGTCTACAACATAAGCATATAAGCTGAATTTTTGACAAACTTTTCACTTTTTCGATCAACGTGGATTCTCTAAGCGTTATTTTTTTGAAATCTTAAAATAAAACTCTGAAGTTTAGATTTTTTTAGAACTTTATACTGCTTTAAACAATAAACGCTGATGAAAACTTGCAGACTTCATCTGAAAAAGCATTGAAATGACAACAAAATTTTTCCAATTTTCCCAAATTTTTATTTTTCTCATTTTTCTTCCATTTTTTTTTTGAAGACTTATAAAAAATCTTTATTATATACAACAGTACACTTTTCATAATCAATTTTCACTTTTTTTTTACTAACGTTTTTTGACATTTTTTTTGTTTGTTTAAAACAAATATTCTTAATAAATAAATATACGCTCTATATTCGCTCTAATAATTTTCCTATCTTTCATACCACATTCATAACACATTTTTTCATTATTTTTTTTTTCTCTCATTTTCATTAAATATGGGGGGAGGAGAGGAAAATGGACTTTTTAAAACTTAATTAGATATCAAGGAGTTTATGAAAAAAGAGAGAGATCTGTTGAATGCCGTAAGCATCATTAGATGATATATAGATGAAAAAGAATTCTTTCATGTAATTTTCTCTCTTTTTTGTCTTAACGAGCGATTGAAGTGAAGTGAAGTGAATGAGTTTGGAAGAAAATGTCATCATCATTAAGTGCTAAGTACAATTTGCGAAAAAAACATGCTTCACAAAAAATTATTTTTCATGAGGTCGGAAAAAACATTCCGAGTGACAAATGACACAACTAGTCATTCTGTATGTTGCATATTGAGAGTAATATTGTGACATTATATTGATGTGTCGTAGCTCAGACGTTGCTAATACGTAGTACATACGTGGCTCACACGTTGTTGTAATGTTGCTCACTTGTGACTTCTATGTTGTGTCAATGTAATTTATAGTTTTGTTTCGTATGTGACATTAATACAACTTGTAGACAACAGTTACATCGACAAGAATCTATTTTTTAAATTTACCAAAGAAGCACACGACTAATGTGACATGTGCTGCTCGGGTAATGATATAGTGCTTTTTGATGAGCAATAAAAAAGTGAACTTGCAACAAGTTTTTCCAACCGAATGTGAAAAACATATGTATGTAATATAGTGGTAATTCAAGCAACTCAGCATTAACACCCTGCAGTCAAACCAGACTGCGAGAGAAAAATAAAGTTTGCTTTAATTTCCTTGTATATTTTTCCATTAAGTTCCCAAGTGGTAGCAAAAATATTAATCCTAGTTTTTCTATAGTTTTTTCTTGCTCATCAGCGTTACTGTTCAGATTAAAATCTTGTTATATCATGACATTCAGGAATTTCCACCACTCAGCAAAAGAATTGCCAGCTATTCTCATGACGATTTCCCGGAATACAACTACAATCGTTTCTTTCTGCGTCATTTATGTGTCACATAGTCGTCGCTATTACAAAATGTCACTCGGATGTATTTTCCTATAAAAATTACATAGAAAAAAGTGGAGAGAAAGGTCCTATGTACGCACAAAGTATAATAAGTACATGCTTATATCATTCTTCATATTTTTATCCTCTCGAGTATACATAATTAAAGAGAATGATAAAGAAGGAAGAGAGTGTGAGAGAGAAAGGCGTTAATAATAAAAAGGGTTAAAAAAATTAAGCGATTAATGATAACATGACTTTTGTTGTTAGGTATTTTCATTTTTTTTTTTGTCTCTTAAAGGCACAATAATAATGATTTTATCATTTTCTTTATTTAAATATCTCTGAGTTTTTGGGGGAGTCTGGCGTGTATGTGATGAGGGTTATTTGGATAGAACATAAAGAAAAAGAATGAAACTAGTTGGAAAATGAATGATTATAAAGTTAAAAGAATTTTTCTTCTTTTAATTCTTTTATATAATAACTATGATAACTTAGTATGTTTGATTGGGTGATTTTGTAGAGAATTTTAAAGAGATTAAATGTTTGGGGATTACTAAGCAGCTTTCAGCTTTAATTTCATAAAATTTTCTGCTATGTATGCTTAATTCCATTAATAGTTGTAACAGTAAAACTAGTTTTGAATCTTATGCAATTGCTTACCCTTCAATAAGTGTAAACAAACATTCAATTCTTTTTCAGAACTCAAGCAGCAAACATTTGCGAAAATTAACTTTAATTTAATTATTAGACTTAAAGCACAACTCTTTAAACAAAATACAATAAATTTTGTATAATGAATAAGTTTAAAGCAAGTTAAATTCATTTAAAGTGAAAACAAAAGAAGTTTTAAAGCAAAATTGCATTTTTCTCGAAATAAATCATTTTCAACTTTAATTTGGAATTAAGATTGTTTTAATTATAAGTTTAAATTGAATTGCTGCCATAGAAACAACTCATAAACAAAGAATCTTCATTAAATTGGAAACTAAAAGGCTCAAAGCTTTCTCAAAAATCACCCAAACGAGACAAAAGTTTCACTCATATGGAAAAAAACCTTATTTTTCAATGCATTTCTAGTTTTTTTTTCTATTTTGGAAAATGAAAAACAAAACTTTCTTTCCATCATCATCATCATCTACAACGTTTTTTTATGTAATATATTCTCCTACATACATTTGCCTAAATAGATCATTCATTCATGAGGATTCCATTTCACTTTTTAATACTTTATCTAACGTTCATTTAAACTTTTTTTTTATTTTCACTAAATATCATTTCTCTGCTTATGTGATGGATGGGCTCCTCACAATTTTTATTTTATTCATTTTTTTATCTCATATTTTTTTGTTTTAAAAAAATAAAACATTTTTCTCATCATCATTATTATTATTTTACTCTTCAGGGCTTCATTTATTTCTTTCCTATATTAATATTATTATTTTTTTATATTTCGTATGATACTTCAACTCAACATCATCATCTACCGTTTCCGTTAACAGTCTTCCTGAATGCTTCACACAAAAATATGTGAAAGCACAAAAAAATATAATTTTTCAGCTTCTTTTTTGTCGTGTTTTCTATATGCATAGATTTTTATATGCCTTCATCTCTCTACTTCTTCTTCATCTTCTTTTTTTTATCATTTTATCATCGTATTACATTATTATTATTAGGTATTTCTTTACAATAAAAAGGGGGAGAGGACTTTTTCATGTATTTTCTGTATATGTGAATCATTCAGTTTCTTTAATATGTCATTAAGTACGGATCAGCGTCTATGAAAGTTCAAAAAATATATGTGTGTATTACATTGATGTTTGAATTGAGTTTCTGCAATGAAAATTCTTTAAGTCCGATCAAATTTTGTGGTTTTCTTTGTTAATCTATTTGCTTGTAGATTTTTAAAGGATTGAGGGGGGGGGGGGGTTCTATGTCCTCTATGTAGGGTGTCTTCGAGTTAAAAAGTTGATTTATTTTTTAAAAAATAGTTTCCAAATCAAAATGTGTTGTCTAAGCCAATACTAAATTATACGTTCATCTGTGCTAGACAGGCACACTTTTAAATGCTGTAAACATGTCGGTGGTAAGTCTTGCAAGTGACTGCTTTGTGTTGAAAGCTGCTCAGCGACTGAGTAGACAACATTCAATCAGTGATGATCGGAAGCTTCACATTAGAACCAAAAATATACAAAATCCACAACACCATATTCAACGGACTTGTCAAATTTTCATCTCAATTCAATCAATTTGCGTATGAAAAAGGAAGGAAAATGAAAGAAAAATCTTATTCATAAGAGTAGGAAAAGGAGGAGGAAAGGAAAGAAAGAAGACGAAAAAATTTATAAGATCCTTAATAATCATTCAATAGCGCAGTCTTTTATGTCTTTTTTTAATCTTTTTTCTTTTCATCGATTTCAAACTTTTTCACTCTCGCCCTCATTGACAAGAGAAGCTTCTTTTCTCTTCTTCTTTAAGCTTAGCTTTCTTTTTTTTATCGTTACAATTTTTAGCTCATAAACTTGATGAGAAGGAGTCGAAAAGGAAACTTTTTATATTTAATATTATTATTATTTTTATGGGACAAGCGAAGGCAGTGAAAAAGTTTGAACTCGATGTAAGTAGTTTTTTTTTCTATCATCATAAAAATGTCAAATCTGCTCTTAAACCTATTTTTTTTTTTCTTCCTACAAGATTTTTTTTTTCACTAGATTTTTCCACAAACAATCATCACATTTATATTTACGTCATTGATTAGTTAAATTTTTTTTTGTTCTCTTTTCATCATTTTTTTTGTTTTTTTTTTGTAAAAAATATATCATAATATATAAAGCTAACTAAGGTCTTTTCTCTGATGCACATATATCCTAATTTCCTTTTTAAACACCATCGCTTTCTACATCGATCAAGGGAGTGATACCTTTTGTGTTTTTTATTGTGATGGGGAATTTCTTTTGGAACTAAAGTTGGTTTCTAGTTCTTAATCTACAATAAGGTTGAGTTGTGCTTGATTATCTTAGTAAAAAAGCTTGGATCTAGATTTTTGTAGATTATTGAGAACTATAAGTTTGAAAGTTAAAGTTGGTTGCCAACCAATTAGCTTTAAACAAGGTTAAACTTAACTTTTATTCCATTTTATAGCAAAAGGAGGCCTCTAGCTGCTCATTTAAACATGATTCAGACTAGATTCGTGTTAATTAATCAGCAACAATTATCTAGCTACCAGTTCTGCTTGAGATTTACAACAAGTAAGAGAGAACGGTGAGGAACTAATCCAAATGTGATTTTTCAGTTCCGCACCTTTGCTGAGAGGTATCAAGAATGAAATTTTGTTTTGGAGCTTTCTTACCTAATTTCCTTGTAGCAAGGTCCTTGCTAGATGCTGTGAGATCATACAATCATTGAGGACAACGAATTAATTAAGGTTAATTTCAATCAAATCTTTAATAATATCAGACTAGGTCGTTTAAAAACAGACTAGAGTGTACAGTTCAAAGTGTTCGCTAACATTATGTCCTTTAAACCATCATTATCCTGTGGAGATTTAAATAAAGATGTCACTCAAAAAACGGGATTTTCAGACCTTCAGTCTCATAGTTTTATGCAAAATCTTTTTAAAATCGAGGCGTCAGATAGCATTTTACAACTCAATTGTAACATCATTTATGAATGATTCCTAGCTTATCTTGTCATAACTGTTATTGACTGTTGAAAATCTTTTTTATGTCTTCCTAAAATCACCATAAATTTCTCTTAATACATGTCAGATCGTTTGAAATTCTAAATGTATTCTTCATGTAGATTCTTAAAAAATGTCAGCATGCCATTAAAAAAGTACATAGCCTTTTAAAGGCATAGCTCAAGATATCTTAAACCCTCTTTAGCGAAAATCTCAAGCAAGTCTTAAATTCCTTTTAAAAGTACATTATTCCATATTCTTGCTCTGTTTAATTTCATTCTTTACCTCCGACCTCCTTAAAATTCCCATAAGATCATCTCCATCTTTAACAATGAAAAAGAATATCATTCCCTTGTTATTTCCTTCATGATTTTTATATATTATCATCATCATACAACATAACAAATAGAACATAAATCGTACGAGGAAATTTATTTTATGACGGAAAATAAAAATCAAGCACAGTAAAAAATATAAATCTCAGGTCTGTTTTAAAACCAAATATTTCAGCTATCGGAAATTTTTTTTTCTTTTTTTTTTTTGTCCTCGACTCATGTAAACATATAAAATGTACACAGTAATAACATCAATTAAATTAAAGCGAAATAAATGTTTGTAGCATCTCCCGCTGTATGTTTGTTTTTTAGTGCCAATATTAATAATTGGGATGTATGTGAATATATATGAATCGTATGGAGAAGCATAAAACATTGGAAAATTCCTCACAAATTTCATTTTGGCACTAAAAAGTTTGGTGTGGTAAAAACTCTATAGTAGTGCTATGACATTCCACTTGACGGATCTAAATTGAATTAAAAATGCAAAAACGAGAAAATGGCAAAAAGGTTATAATTTTATGCCTGAAAGAATGTCCTGTGATTTCTCACCGTCTAGGTCTGTAGCATAATTGTTTTGAATCCGTTTCATGCCTTCATGCTTTTGAAAGTTGTCAGTTGCATGCGAGTCGAGAAAAACAGGATCCATTGATGTCTGCACCATCTTTGGTCTCTCTCCACCAACTTGCGATGTTTTCATGCTCTTAAAGTCTACTTTATTCTGTCTCAAGCTACGTCCACCAAACTCACGTGGATCATACTCTTGAAATGCTAAGTCTTTCTCACGTGTTGATGATGGCTGTGCCTTTAGTTTTGCCAAACGTGTCTCTACAATCTGTATGTGCTTGATTATGTAATCTTCATTCGGTGCCAGCTTATGAGCTTCGTTTAGACATGCATAAGCCTTTGCCAATAGACCTCGTTCCACATATACCACACACAAATTGTGCAATCCCTGTATGTTGACAGGATCTAGTTGAAGGATTCTCTTATAGCACTAGAGAGTATGAAGGTGGATACGTGTGTATGTGCATGATTATATGATATGGATGAAAGGAGCAGAAAGAAAGATGCAGAAAATTTAATTTAAATCGAGAATCAACTCCGTTGAGTCTTGTGTAACAAAAAGGAATTAGGGACTATTCACATATTACGTAACGAAAAATAAAAGATTTTTGGAGATCTTCAACAGTTTGTCACAAACTTTCCAACGAAAAAAAGGAACCAAATCTCAATGAATGTTACGTAATAAATGAAGAGTCCCCTAAAAAACTAGTAAAGTTCATGTTTTGTAAGAATCAGAACTTTTTCAGCGCATGTTGTTACTTAGTCTCATGTGTTATGTCAAAACTACATACAACAGACAATCTGACAAGCTCAAACTGTTGAAACAACATGCATTTGAGACTAGCTCTAAAATGCATGATGATAAAAAAATTTAAATACAAATTGAGGGCAGAACTTACATGCTCGGCTGCATCAATATCTTTGAGTGTATTTACATAAATATCTCCAAGTAAAATCAGTCCCTTTACATGATCTGGATGGTACTTTACAAGTTGATTCAAAAATGGAGCAGCTTCCAATGGTCGATGGTCATCAGCTAACAAGAGCGCTAGATTAAATAGTGCACTTCTGAAATCTTCTTTTATGTGAATTGCTCGCCTAAAGTAGTGTTCAGCTTCTTCAATGTTTCTATCATCCATTGCCAACATTCCCAAGTTGAAAAAAACTCTTTCGTTTTGATCTAATTTCATCATGTTGTGCAGCAATTCAAATAAGATGTGAATTTTTTTCAATTATATATTTTTTTTCGTGTCAGAAATAAAAATCCATTTTGAGTTTATTTACAATACTTACCATCCTTTTCGAGTAGCTTCATCAGTCGTTCTCTAGCAATTTTCCGAAGCTCTGGGCGTGCAAGTTCTTGTAATAAAATTGCTGAGTTCAGCAATGCTTGTTCATGTTCTGGATTATATTCGAGCGCTTTATCCAAATACGCTAGAGCTTGTGCTGGCTTATTCAATTCCAAAAACACTACCCCGAGCTGTTAGAAAAAAAGCAACAACAAAAGAAAAGAAATAAAAGAAATGATGATGGAAAATAGGAAAAGTTTTTGTTCCTCGTTCTCTGATTTCTCATTCATAATTTTCACCATATTAAAGTTAATTTAAAGTATGATGGTAAACTTTTTGAATAAATAAGATGTGATGTAGAGAGAGAAAGAGAGTGTGGGGCATAATTTCAAGATACATTGCTCTTCCAATTTTTTTGTGCCCTTGCTTATTTCTATACTTATTACTTTTGTTTACGAGGTATTCAGGGGTGTAAGCGTGGGGGGAGGGGAAGGTGGGTTTGTGATCAAAATGATGGGAAAGCAACATGATTTCTTATCAATATTTCATCTATTAGGAAGTCCGAAGAGTTGAACCCTCATCTTCATTCATCCAAATTTTCAAAAAGATCCAGCTACGCCTCTGTTGACGAAGCACAGGAATGAAAAAAACTTTTCTTATGGTTTTTTGTTAGGAAATTTTCATCTTTTTTTCTTTCCCTTTTCAATGTACGAATATATTTATATGTATGACTAAATATGAAGAAGCACGAGGTGTATGAAGAAAAATAAGCATGGAGAAAAGTGAAAACTTTTCTGCTTTACTCGCTTTCACTCATTCTGCTGATAGAATAAATAGCAGATTGCTGCTTTTTGTACATTTTAGAGAAAAAGTTTTTAACATACAGTCTTTAAATAATTGAAGCTTCTTGGGTAATATTGAGTGAATGGAAGCATTATTTTATGGAATTAAGTAAATTTCGTAATTAGCTACCTCGGACAGATGATATTGAGTGAATAAGAGTGGAACTTAACGCGTAAAATTTGTTATGATGTGAAAGTTGTTTAGAGGATGCTTATTTATAAGGAACAGGGGATAGGGAGTGAACATAGTGGTGTATTGGTGTAGTTGCAGATCAAATGTGACCAATAGCTATATTTTGCGGCTAGTGATAGTTTAACGAGGACCATGAGTCCTCGATTTGAGCAGATTCGATTTAAACAAGATATTTCTGCGACAAAACAAAACTATTCCACCATTGGTCTATATCGACTCATTTTAATTCAACGCATCTAGAAAGCATCACCACAGTTCACCAGATCTTACTTTTAAACATTAGAAACCGTTAAAGTCATAAATCAATTCAAAACTTTTAATTCCAAACTTATTTTCAACCAATAAATATAAAAATTGTCAACATGGACTTCATTTACCATCCCACAATGTTCAATATTTCCATGCTTTCCTTGCGTCCTGACCATTTGCCAAATGCCACATTCCATACTTTTTAAAAGTTCATATTTATTCTTTCTCTCTTTATTTTTTGCTCTAAAAAATCACAAACAGATGTCTAACTGTTCATATTTTCCATACTCTATCTTCTCCATCTCTACGATCTCCACATTCCTTATTCACTGATAATGGAAATAAATTACAAAGTTCCATTAGCATAGAGGGTGAGGGAGAGCAGCAGTGAGTAAAAAAACTTTCAGCTGCTACAACAGCTTTTTTTCTACTTCTTCTTCTTCTTCTACTTCTATTTTTCTAAAGTGTGCGAGACAATTGTGCATGAATGAAAATCGAAAAGTTTTTTTTTTCTATTCTTGACTGCAACAGATTTATGCAAAAGGATTTCTTTCGATTTGATTGTCGCTTTCATGCCATTTTATTCATGAGGTTCATACCGAATGTGCATAACATTCAACTTGTGCTCAAACAGAAAGAAAGAAAAAGAAAAAGTTGAAAGCACTTTTTATGTTTTCAGTTTACACGAAAAAAAAATAGAAATCAGAATCGAGAACGAGCATTAAAAAGTATAAATTGGATTGAACATAATACTCACATTGTAATAAATATCAGGGTTGGAACTGTCATACAGTAATGCTCTCTCATAGACCTCTTGAGCCTCTTTCGTTCGATTTAATTTGATTAATATATCACCTCTATTAATGTATGCCTGCGTATAGTCACTACGCATTGATATCGCTTGTCGATATAGACTGTCAGCCTCCTCCAATCTTGTTGCATTCTTCGATATGAGATTTGCGAGATTTAGAAAGACATTAAGATGATTTGGTGCGATACGTGCTTGATAAGACTCGCCGGGTTTTGCTTTTGGCAAGAGGCTTTTAGCAATTAAATAGGCATTTTCTGCCTCCTTGTATGACTTTAAATGATTATAAGTTCGTCCAACATTAATCCAGCCACCAATGTCATCCTTTTGAACTTTCACTGCTGCTTGGAAATACTTTAATGCCTCATCAAATTTACCCTCACTTTCGAGCGCATGCCCAACATTATTGAAGAGCTTTGCATTACGTTTGTTCACCCGCAGGCCACTCATGAAAATTGAATATTCCGTTTCCCAATCAAAGTTTCTGGACCATGTTTTCATCGAATGTGAGAGTATAAAAAATGCCATAAAGCACCAGACCATTTTCTTTGAACATTTTTCAGATACTAGATGAAAACCGTAAGCAACAATAAGACAAAAGCCCATTGATGGCATGTACAGGACACGTTCAGCAACGACAAAGCCAACTGGGAAAAATAAATTGCTCGCCGGCAGAAATGGTAGAACCATAAATGCCAATCCCTATACATTTATTTATAATTTTTCATTTTGATGTGTCCGATTCCATTTTATATTTATTTTATTTATTTTTTTTTCGAATGTATGTCGTTTTTTACGGATATGATGTGAAATGACATGGAAAGAAGAGGAAAATAAATTCAATGTAATTTCCTATTAATTTAAAAAATAGCATCCACAAATCAACATTTAATCAATTTATGGTAGTCATTGCATTGCTGTTACGTAATGTGGCTGAAATCAATTTATAATTTTTGATGATTTTGCAGGCCTACAATCATTGAATGACTGACGGGAATTGATATTTGATGTGAAATGGTTTATTTGTGGCAGGGGAGAATCCACTTGGTGGATATTTGCTGTTTACATATTTTATAGAGCTAAATTGTGACTATTGCTGATAGAATTTAAACGAATACGCAAATAGAGTCACTGTCAGACTAGTAAATTCAGGGATCAATACTTCAGGTTTGGATGTTATCTAAGAATTTGTGTTCAGACAGTAAAAAGCTAGATAGAAAATATCTACGCCTACACATTTACATTTTGTCTAAATCAGTTAATGTCTTTCTGATTTAGGCATAATCTCTAATATCCACAATCTAGACCAAGTCTAAATATCTGAATTAACAATTTATAATTGATTAACAGTAATAACTTTCCACCAAGTTGATGAATCCCCTGACCATCATCAAAAATCACCAACCACTCTCGCAACAATAATACACATTAATTAAGCATCAATAATTACCATAATAAGAACGTTTGCCTTTCGTCGATTCTCCGTACTAATTGCAATCCATGAAAGCCACCCAATTATCGAGTATGATAACAGCGTCAATAAATTCCGTGGATCAACGAAGCCCTTAATCAATTCAATTGAATTCATTGTCCAATCGCATACGAGAGCATCGGGAAAGAGTAACAGCCACAAGTTAACTGACACGAGATAATTATAAGTTAGCTGTCGTGTGGGTGATGGTGCAACACTCGCTGGGTTATCGAATCTAGCAGTTCAAGGAGAAATGAAAAAGAATGGAAAAAAATTTTAAATGAGAAAAACTTTTGCTTGAGACATTGTAAGTCGATGAACTTAAATGTCGAATGATAATAAAAAGAAAAAAGCTTTTACTGCTGCTGCTCCTGATGATGGTGATGTTTTGCGCTGAGCTATTATGAAGCAAAAGTTATTTTTTTCATCTCTTCTGTGTATAAGTGTGTGTATGTAAAGGAAAATAACCCCCGCACACTTATTTCACAAAATACAGTATTAGAAGAAAAAGATGCTTCAGACACTGCTTCTTTTTATTTTCATTACATTTTCATGATATTACGTATAGACACTAGCATTGTGTGCTTGACAAGCACAATTGTTGTTAACTTTTTTCAATAATTAATTTTTACAGTTGCTGAGTGCTTTTTGTTCGATTGAGGATGGAAATTAATTTAATTGTCAAAGAATGTGATTGTTATTGTCGACTTTATTGCTTGACATGTGGCTGGATATCAGATTTTGTGCTGGATTCTTAAAAAAGCTCACTTAAAGCTTTTAAGAATTAGATTTGGATTTATTTTGCATTTTTGAGTAGTACATGTTATTGAGGCTGATCTGAAGATCATGGAACCTTATTCTAGATTATGATAGCTATGACTATTTGAATATGGAACCAAAAATTCTATGAAAAAGCTTTGAAACTTCCCAAAATAAATCTCTAAATCCCTTTCAAAAATATATTTTTATGCATCCCCAACTCGAAGCACCAAATTCAACTCTCCAAGGACAGACAATCATCAAAAATTTTATCATATCAAGCCATCGAAAAATATTATTCGAAAGCGAGAGCAAATGAAGCTTTCAATTTGCAAATTTTATTTAGCACGTGTATATATGTGTCTGTATATATCTATGTCAATGACCCCCCACTCCCTCTCATTCTCGTCAAGCTTTCAATTCAATTTCATTCCAGTTCCACACTTTTCTTGCCATTTTCACCCGTAAACAATTTTTTTTCTATTCTTCTTGCTCATCTCATTTCGGCAGCCATGAAAATACACTTTCATTTATGGATATATGTTTTTATGTATGAGTCTGGGTGTGTGTGGGTATATGCACGTCTATACATGAATACCCACACATTTTATGCGAGACAGACTGTAAGGTGACCTTGAAAAATAAATGTTAGATGGATCAACGTTCGTTCGGAGGATACAACGAGTCAGGCAGTATAAGAAGAATAGAAATGAGAATATAAGGAGCGTATGCGTGCCTGAGATTAATCCACCCAAGAAATATTTTTCTTCTTTGCTATTTTTTTCTCCAAAAATAAAAGTTACAAAAGAACTCTTTCCATATCCACTGCCACCAACATCATCATCATCATCATCATCATCAGCCGAAAAACGGAGAGTATTTTTATTATATTATTTAAACATAAGAAGAGGATATCCTGCCGTGGATATACCAGCCATATTTGAATGACGTAGATGAAAAATGTAAAGCTCTTACTCTCGTACATAAAAGTATACTCACTTTGTAAAGACTGGCAATTGTGAGCCCATTATGTTAAGACGGGCAAAAAGAAGACCAAGGGTCGATAAGCACAGCACTATAAGGCGACGGGTAGCTTCATTTGGCCACCAATTTGTCGAAAGCGACGGTGCTTTTCCACTCGCCACATTCTGTATCAAATGTCTTATATCATTGATGTGGAGCTGTATGTCACATAGGGAGAAAAAGAGATAAAGAAGAAGAATGAATGATGAAAGAATTTCAATATTGAACATTCCTTTGCGGGGCAAAAGAATAACAGCATCAAAGAATATATGAAAGAGGCATCAACAAATATGGTTAAGGGGGGAGAATATTTGCATGTATCACATATGTACAAACCTTTTGTGCTACAAATATTTCATAAATCGCACAAACTCCACAAATTGTTATTCCTTGCTCTTTACACAACATGGCTGCTGACACAGCCAATACTGTTGGTATAAGATACATCCATCCTGTAAATGAAAAAATACAAAAAAAAATTTTAGAAGGGAAAATAAATTTATTGGATGTGGGTGGCATAAAAGCATTTGTTCGCTATGGTTCTGTTGTTGCAGATTGTTTGCAGATTGTTTGCAAATTCTTTGGGAAAAATATTGCAAATTAGACTTAGAAGATTAGGTATGGAATGGCGATATTGCTATGGACTGAACTAGATCTGCAGAAGTCAATCTAATTTGAATTAACTGGATGTATATTACGTTTACTGAAAAGTCTTTGTGTCTCATAATCTTTAATTGATACGAAATGGTTCATTGGGAACATCTAAATTGATTATTACGTGACTTAAATAATCAAATTAGCTAAAATGGCCATACTTCTTAAACGAACAATATTTTCAGAATCTGAAGTTGAATGACACTTTGAAGTCAGAGTTGTATCAAGGGATAAGAAGCTAATTGAAATCAAGAATGAAATAAAGATCAAAAATCAGTTGGTCAGTAGGCAAACTTGATAAGAATCTAGTGTTGTAAATCCCAGACATCATCTGTTAACAATCTTCAAGAAAGAATTCCTTCATTTCAATTAATTATTCCGATTCCAACCAAACTGAAGCCACAAAAAAAAATATTCAGCAACTCCATAAAACTTTGCTAATGTGAACCATAAATGGAAAATTCGATACAACAAGAAAAAGTTTAATCTTTTCGTATCAGTCTCAAAAGTTTTTCGCTTCATTAATTAGTTTCAATATGTGGCTGAGATTTTAATTGGATTTTCACAGCTAAAGATGGGTAATTTGATCGAATTAAGACGTTTCATGAACTTTACTTTCCTAGGTATTTACTCGACGTCAGTAACCGTTGTTAAGCATATAAAAAAATCTGATATTGCTCTCTGTATTATAAATAGTAGCTCGTGTACTCACCTGTCGATTTTTTTCGTCTCGTCGCTTTCACATAAAATATGAAAGCTGCTAAAAAGAACGCACTCGACAGAATTTCAGCACGTCCAACAACCCCCGTTACCTTGGAGAGAGTAAAGAATAAAAAATGATAAAGAAGAAAGTTTTATATTAAATTTGGTATAATAAAAAGAAAATTGTGGGATGTTAATAATGGAATTATATCCAAATTTTTGTTGTTGCGCTTTTTTGGAGGGTAAATTGAGGTTACGTGTTCGTTTTGTCTGTAACATTTGAGCATTTAAAGTGGATATTTTTATGTCTGAGAATTTTAGGTTAGAAAGCATGTAGCGGGTATGAAGTGGCTTATTTAAAATCTTACTTTATGTAATGAATTTCTTGTTAAATATTTTATTTGAGTTTTCAATCAAGATAAGCTTTCAAACACGTTGCACCGCATAGAAACATAACTCCAATAAAACCTTCAAAATAGCGCTCAAAGCATCTCCTTTGATGACATTCTTACTCATTTTTCTCCGACTCATTCTCTCCTTTATAAACTTTTCTGATATAAAGTATACAGTTTGTCGTATTCTTCATTTCAATCAATATAATAATTTTCAATAAAATTTATGGAAACTCGGCAAAATTAGTTAAACTCAATGGGCGGCTCAAAAAAACTTATTCATATATTTTTCTTGTTAAATTTCATGGTAAGGCGCTCTTGCATAAATTTTTAAAATGTATCGAACAGTTTACATTATAAATCATATTAAAAGTTCCTTCATTGCTCTTATAATCCTTTGATGCTAATTAATAGAGCTTATTGAAGGTGTTTTAACACCAATTTATGAAGTTTAATTAAGAAAGTTCTATGGAATTTGTAGCTTTTCATGAAAATTGGTTATTTCTGTGAATGAGTAAGAAGCACTTGAAACTTTTCATCTTTTATTGAAAGTATGAATGATAATCCCCATCGGAGCTTTTGAAGCTTTTATAGCAATTTTATTTTTAAAAAAACTTTATTAAAGTTGAAACTTTTTTTTATGATAGCAAATAAACCATGCTTAAAAATTGATGAGACATCTTGAAGAAATGAAAATCTGAGATTCGATCATAAAGTTTAAATAACTCATTAGTTTTACTATCTGATAATTATATGGATTAAGTTTATAATAACTCAATGTTCACGCTGTTGTTGCTGTTTAATGACGGTGAAATAATGAGCATTTGGTTGCTTGGGATATAACAGCAATTAAAAATTTAATGATTTTGACAATTTATGCATAAATGATGGCGTGGGCATTATTGTTGAGTGACCTTAGTGGGATCAACAATAAAAATCTCTTTAGTCCAAAACAAAATAACAAATTAATCAGAAAAGTCTGTAAATGCTTTCATCTAAAGCACTTAAGCTCGTATTACAAGTAAAACCTCCCCAATACCTTCATATCAAACTCAAATTACGAAAATAGAACATAAAATCTCAATGTATTAAGAAGCATCTCTATAACATCGTAAATTAACTTACTATAAGGTCGTAAAGTTCAAATTCAAGTTAATCTTCTAATTTATCAAACGTGAAGAAGAGAAATTTTCTTGCTTAATATCTTAAAGTAATAAAAAAAGACTCTCGGATTTTCAACTGCAATAAACTTTTCGCGAAAACTTTAGCTACGAAAGAAAACTTTTATCTTTATTGCTTCGGGGATCATTCACTGATGATGTTTGATATGAAGATGAGGGTAGCTTGGAGTGAGCTGAAGTTGATCGGTTGGATATTTGGGATGATAAATATCCCGGTCAGCACACATTTATAATATAAATGTTATACAGTTGATAATATAATTAGAATCAAACGGCTGCTGCTTGGAAGCAACACCCAATTAAATACCAAGTGTTTGCCTCGTGGCAGCAATTTCCAATTTGCTGCCGTTTGGTTCCAATTATACTATCAAACCAGCTCCCGTTTTGCAAACATTTTAATGAAAATCATTGTGTGCCGATCGGGTTTGTTGCTTTCCGAATCATAAGTATTGGATTTGCGGTTTAAAGTTTCTTTTTTTTGGGTACAGCGTTGTCTGTCAAAATAATGATTTAGATCTCAGAATTGAATGCGGTGATCTGACTAGCCCTTAATTATTAATTTATCATTAATCAGCTCTTTGCAGCCTCTTAAAGTTTTATGAAATTATTTTAAATTAAAAATTTAGTGCCACATGTTAGAATGAAACTTAAAATTCAATTTTAATATTGACATCATTTATGAACGACCCCACAAGAAAGTTTTCATTCCTTAATATTATAAAATCATCGAAATCCTCTTTACCCAATTCCAATAAATCATTTTAAGTTTAAAATGCTTCTGAATGTTAACCAATTCATGTGAAAAACGAGTGAATATTTTCTATGGTTTCGAATAAAAAGAAGCAAGCAGCAACAAAAAAATATTTAAGCCATAGCTTTATGTTGTGTTGTAAATTTAATTTAGCTGAAAATATTGACGCTTGTGGTGAAAATATAAAATTTTTCTCATCCATCCAATATTTTGGTTCTTTTTACTCATCTCCGCTCTCTTATGTAGCTCCTCTCTTTTTATTTCATTTGCCTTTTGCTTCGCATTTTCGAAAAAAAAAATGTAAGTAATAAGAAGAGAAGAAAATGAATGAAAAGAAGTAAAGAAATGAACAGCGTCTATTAAAAGACAAATATTGATTTTTTTCATGCCGACGCGACAGACGAAGAAGAGGAGGAATATTGTGGATAAGGACATTGTTTTATGTCTCATGTTGCACAATATCTCTCTGTATAATATTTATTGACTTATAGGAATTGGAATATAAGGAACACGCGTAGATGGGGGAAATAATTTAATGTAACAATACCGCCTGTCGATCACGGACAGAGAAAAATGGAGCTTACTTGGTATATTTCAGCATGTGGGATTCCATGAAAATGTGGAAATTTTGTTATTATGTCAGACTATCGAGAAATTTTCAGGTTATCAAACTTTGTAATTGAGAATAGATAATAGCTGATTAAAAGCATCTAAAAACTTTATGTCTGATCCAACGGGTTTTACAAATTATAATAATTTTTATAGCATCTAGAAAAACGATACCGAATTTTAATTGGATCCTGGTGATTTGATGTGCTGGTTTAATGACTAGAGACATTTTAGAAAATTCCAAAAGTTTTATTATTCATTGCATTATTATTTGAGCATATTGTATTAAATTTTATGATGTTGTAAGATGCTATTTAATTATATTAAATTCTTTAGAATTCGTTCGTGCATCATAGTAGCTTTCCTTGAAATAATATAACAATGATTAGCCATCATGTGTAGTGCTTCACTCGAGTTTGATGTGTTCACATCCACAATTTCATGCTTCAGAACTATAGTAAACGTATGTTTTGAGCTCTTGTATATTCAGGAATATTTTAAAATAGTCTAAAGCTTCAGTATGATCCGTTGATATTCTATAGAACCATAAAAGTGTGGAAATAAAAGCCCAGTTTATTGTCTGGAAATACTTTCATTCAAAGGAACTAATTAAAAATTGCACGCTAAATCTTTTCACTCTTTTTTAAAAACAAATAAGCTTTTGTCAATTCATTCTTGTTTATGGAAATGTATAGGAAAGTGATGCAGCGTAATACAACCTCGAGTTTTTTAATACAGCCTCAAACTTTTATAGTTTGTCAACGAGAATGAATCTTTCATAAGCGTTTATAATGTTTAAAGAATATAGAAGATACAGCTGCATGTAGGATAGAACCGAATGAATTGAAATGTATTACTATACACTGTCAGTTTCCTCAAACTAAGGATGGATGAAAAAATAAATAAAATAAAATAAGTATAGAAAGAAGCGGCTTGGTGAATGAGAGAAATACGCAAGCAGGGTGTTCAGAAGAGGATATGACCTAAACACAATAGATATATGTATATAGATCTATGTGTTTATAGCTTCATGCCATCACAGTATAGTTGGCATATAACAAAATTTTCGTGTGAATATAGTAATATCAAGTATTTATATTCCATACACGTAATCGCTCTTTCTCTTTTTCCCTTCATCTCACCATTTGCGAGCTTCATTTTTGTGTCGAAGGAAGGAACTTAGAGGATGAGAAATTTTTCTTATTTTCAGTGTATCGTTACTGTTGTTGCAGCGACTCATGACGAAGGAAAATTAAATTTTCAGGCTCTTTAAAAGTCATCGTCTGGCTTCGTGCATTAACAACAGCAGCAGCAGAGAATGAGCGAGTAGTCATAGTAAAAAAAAGTAAACGTAAGTAAACACAAAAGGAGATGCATGTTGGGTTGAATGTTTGAATGTGAATTAATTATAACTTTTTTTTGTTGTACTTACAGCTTCAGTGTGAATTGGATGAACAGCGAATAGCAATGCAGCAATGAAAGCTGTCACATCGGATAGAATTATTGTACTCATGCTATTGTATTGTACGTACGGTGAACACACAAAAATATATAAATTTATATTGTTGAAAAATGAGGATAATGGGAGTTCATTGTAGTTACACCAGGAATAGCAGCACACGGTACGCCAATTCAATAAAATGAAAATAGAACACGAGATGTTAGACGAAAGGATGAAAAGAAGTAGAAAAAAGCATTAGAGAATCAATTGATTGAGGAAAGAAGCATACAAAAAAATTTGTTTCTTATTTCAAAGGAGAAGTTGAAAAGGAGAATATAAAGTTGAGAGATAGATGTGGAGCAATAGGATAAAAAGAAAGAAAAATCACAAAATGCCAAAACGTCGGGAGAATTTTATCTTCTTATGTAGTCTTTTATTGTGTATAGAATTTGAATGAAAATTTTCTTATAGCTTTTTCGTGGGACGAGCAAGTGATTTAAAACATGAATTTTATTGTCTGGCTGAAGAGCTTTTGAAGCTCTTGCCATCTCAATTTACTTTAATTTAAGAGTTTTCAAATGAATTGTTGAACATTTGTAAATGGTTCAATTATTTTTGAACTTAAATTGCAATTTAAAGTTGCTTGCTCCTTTTGTTTGTTGACTATTTTAGTTGAAATTTTGATTTGAAAAAGTTAAGTTTGAATTATTATTAACTTTAACAAACTTTAACTTAATTATTAGAATTTAATCTTAAGGAAGATTGTGTAAGTTTTTTATGCAACTTAGGAGTTAAAACTAAGTTAAAACTTAGATCTAAAAGTAAGTTTTAAGTTTATTGTTCTTAAAAACTACAAAATTGCAAATTTGGTAAATATAGAAAATAAAACTACACAAAAATCCATTTGGAAGTTAAAAAAGATCAATAAAGTTCCAATTGTGAAGCAACTCATAAAATATAACAAAAGTTTTCCAAAATCTTCCTGATAGACAAACTTTCAAAAGTTTCAACTCAAATCTGCAATAAATTCCATTGAACATAACTCTATACACTTTAAACTCTTGAACTTAACATTTTCTATGAAGGATTTTTGATATTTTATTCAAATAATTTTTTTAAACATATTAAAGAAGATGCGTCTAAATATTTTGCCGATAGCGACTATCTTCTATGCTTAAACGTCTTTGCAAACAACACACGAGAAGATTTTGTCGAAGAAAGTCTTTTTCATATGAAAATTATCTACCTTTACTCGTCCTTTTTATTCCTTTTTTCTTATGTTGTATATTTTCGTTCATTTTATCGGATTTTGTTGCTACTTTTTAAGTTCTTTTTTCTCTCTCACATATGAAAATGGCATTTGTTCTGGAGGGCAAGATATATTATGTGTGTAAATATGCATAGCTTGGTCCATCCCTCTATCTTCAGTCACAAATATATACAGTATGTACACATACAATCTTTTCAATATCGTTTTTCAAATCATTAACTTTCAAAGTTTTTTCTTTTCTTTTTTTATCCAAGTTTTTTTTTGTTCTCTGCATTCCATTTTCACATATTTTATTATTTTATTTCATCCCTTCAGAGAATGGTTTATAGTACGAGCAGATATTTATTTTATATCTCAATACCTGCACCATCCATAGTGGATGAATTTTTATATTGAAAATGTAAAAAAGAGAGGATTTATTTATACAAAAAAAGAAGCAACAAACGACAATTTGGCAAGTTGTGAAGTTTCTAATGAATATTGACACCTTATCTCTCGATACTTTTTTCCCTTTTGTTCTTCTATTGTGCACTAGTATTGTGATTAGGGGTGTATTCAGGACTTATCTAAATCCAACCTTGGTCGATTATCAACGATTAACCCTTCCCTGGATACACTTCTACTAGTTACAGCACCATACATATATTTACACACACACACTTACCGATAATACATGACAGACACTAAAGCATGTAAGAGCATATTCACAAGATGATAAGTCATCGGCTCCATGCCTGATATTGCAAAGTTCCATCGAAACGTCAATACACATAATGGCCGATATGATTTATGACTTTGCTCCTAGTTAATCGAAAATTTTGTTGTGGAAATGAAAGAGAAAAATGGAGATTTTTTTTTTGTTTTGTTTGAGTGAAAACAATTGGAAATGAAGAACAATACGATAATTGAATGTGAAGCTACTGTGCTTTCGCCATTGTAGCTGTCAAATGAAATACTACAAATGCATATACACAACATCCACTCAATAATATTTTCATTTGCATTGTCTCAAATTTCAATAAACAATTTTTTTTTATTTTTAGCGGATTCTGATTGAATTGAATCGGAAAATGATTTTTCATGGTTTTCAATTTGTCTGTTTGATTGAGTTACAAGGAATAATGTGCTTATTGTAAATTTGTAGAGCTTCTGATGTGATTAAAGCTCTTTTAAAATTTTAAAAGTTGAAATGAATTGATGAAAAATTTAAAAAAATTAAACATTAGGGGTTTTAAAGATTAATTAAGATTGGATGTTGTTTTCCGAGTGTGTAAAATTTGAAGTCTCGCAATTTAGCTTTTAATGTTTTGAGTAATGTGGATGTCTTTGTCATCTCGACCTCATTTCATCTGATGACCAAGGGTGTGGAACTGAAGAGTTACATTTTGATCATTTTTGATCATTATTTTGATCATTTTTTTATCATTTTTGATGATTTCATCAGTACCGCACCCTTGCTGACGACTTCAAATTAAACTTATTTAAAGAACACAACGCAAGAATTCTAGGATATATTAATTTTAAAATGTCTTTCAAATTCTCGCATGCCCTATTTATCCACAATCTGTGCCCATTTTATTAATAACTTAACACCCGCAATATTAATTTTCAAATTCTTTTAAACACTTCAATCAATTTATTCTCGTAAATATTTTTTAAAACATTACAAAACTAGAATTCTTTGAATTTTTTAAGCACCAAACTGTTGCATAAACAAATTCAATACTATATCCTTATCAAAATAAGTTTTAAGGGTCAGGAAGGAAAAAAATTTCGTGAGAATAACAAAATTCCATTTGAAAAAAAAACATCGCAAAATTGAATATTCAAAAAATTAGCTTTACAGGTTGGAATAAAAAAAGTTGGCATGAAAATATTTTTTCAATTTTTTTTCTTTTAATTTAATTTTCCAAGAAAAACCACAACGAGAATTTCATGTCAACAATTTTTTTTTGACTTAATTATTTTAATATTTTATGAAATTTTCCTCATTTTGATTTAATTAACTCAATTTTTTTTTCATGCATGGTTAGTGGTTTTACTGTCCATACAAAAAGAAATTTAATGATTAAAAATTGACTGGCTTTTTTTTTGTCGCGTGGTGGAAAATCAACTTTAATGTGAAGGAAAATTCTATAAATGTGTGAGAACAAGCTTCGTCAAGGTTAAATTCTGTTTAAATTCATGAATTCATAATTTTTTTCTCTCCTTTAAATATTTAAGCATCAAATTTATTTTTGAAATAGTTCCGAGAAATTTTTTTTGTCTGAATTGTTTGCATAACTTTCAAATTTATTTTTTACAACATTTTTTCCTTCCAAAATGTCTAATAAAATTTTGTAAACGTTGTTTACACAAATAAAAATTTATGTCAATACTTGAAGGGATCTTGTTTTCATTGTCATTGCCTGAATTTTATGCTTGATGTGTTCATTAAATTTTTATGGCTTGCAAGGACTTATAGGATTCTAACATTAGGATAATTTGGAAATTTTCAAATTTTTTCTTTGACTTTTTTTAAAGATTTTCTTGAAATTTTTTAATGTTTTCTTAGCTAATCCAGCCTTTGACAGATCCAGTTGGGCATAAAATTTAAATTATTTTAAAAAATGAAATTCAAAATTAATGTCGCCTTTGAAAAAGATTGAGAAACCCTATTTTGAATGCTAGCTTTGACAAAATCATTCATCATGTTTATTTTTACTGTTATTAAATGTTTATAGTCGATTACATAGATTGTACTATATTGCTCAAATGAAAATTCAATCAAAAGAAGGATTTAAAACTCATAATTCAATTAAGTTCTTACATGCTTCTTAAAAAACTCTTACTATTGTCTGATTACTTAAGTTTGTAACTATGTTTACAGAAACTTTGAGTTTTTAAGTTTACAAAAGCATTTCAGACACTCTATACAATTTTTTTCTGGTTCAAGGACACTATCTTGTGCATGAAGGAGGAACAAAAGTAATCTTTTTTACAAGCTTACAGACAATTCTGTTTGTAAAAGTTTCTGATTTAACGATTTAAGTTTTTAAAATCCTCTTTTTAACAAATATATTTAAGGACATTCTTTAGGGCTTTTCAAAGCACCTCCACTAGTCACAGTTCAATCTTGTTGATCATTGCATTTTTAGAGGATTTGGGAAGAAGACGTGAAAAGTCGTTGAATTAGACACGACTTATGATCTTCCCAAAATCTCATTCTTCTTCAAGTTCAGTACCAAATTTATTTCCTATTCAGCAGAGGTATATTCCACCTTAAACCACTGCGATACACAAAAGAACTTCCAACACAAAAATCATAAAAACATTAGCTCAACACACACTCGCTTTCCAAAAATAATCCAAACATATAAAATTTTCATCAATCCAAAGTAGAAAAAAAAATTAATTTCATCAAATGCAGTCCATGACCCATTACTCACTGCTTGACATCACTTCACATCATATTCAATTCCACATTTTATTTTATTTTTCAATAATTCCTATCAGCAATCAACTGAATTGACACTTTATCAATAAGCTGATGGACAATTTTTATTTTTTTAATTCCATAGTAACTCATTCACACAAACACTTTATTAGTCATAAATTGAATTCGAGTCATGACAAAATAATGGAAACATTTCTATTGCATTAATATTGCTGTATTTTGTACTTTTCAATCATAACAGAGAGCAGGGTAAAGAATGAAAACGTAGCAAGTGATGGAAAATTCAACAAGTGTCTCGTTCACAAGGCACTTAATTATTCAGAAGGTAATCTTGAAATGAAAATTTAATGAGTGGATGGTCGCTTTTCTTTTCGCTACATTCGGCGATGTGGGGAGGTTCGTAGATGACGTCTAACACGGGTCTTGGTCTGTTTTTCAGTCAATATGATTGAACAGACATTACTCGATATAAGTCATTTACGAACGCACCCTTAAATAGCTTTTTATATTCTCTTACTTTGTGCATTGGAGTTCCCCAAAAATCATTAAAGAAGATATTCTTTAATGGCGAATGAGGACGCAAATCGCGATTCTCCTTTATCGCTGAGATATCATCGAAGACGAAGTTGCAATTTAGGGAGTTGTAGTAGCAAAGGATGGAAACTAAAATTACAGTCGCTCCATATACATATGAAGTCATTATTGTTATGCCTTTTTTAATTTCTTCTCCTCGTCTCGTTCTCAATTTTTATATATTTATTTTTTTTTGTTCTTGTGTAGAGTAATACAGTATGTCTATATATATATACTATATACGTATGTATAAAATATCCAATTATTCTTGTGATGTGACAAAAAACAATTCAGTAAGCAAAACGCAAACAGGTTTCGTTTGGTGCCAAGTTTTATGATAAAAATTTATCGACATTCGCGAATTGCACTAAATTATATTTTTTTTACTTCATTTCATTCTCGTCTCCAAAATTTATGCGAATAATTTTGGTCATTTTGTTTTACTCCTTCGTTCTTCTTTTTAAAGCAAAAAGAAACAATATTAAAGTCGAATGAGGACTTCTTTTTGCTGCTGACTGTTTTTTTATTATTTTTATTTTGTTTCTCTCCTCCTCGCCTCTTTCTTATCACAATCGACGACAATCATAAAAAACTCAGCACAAAACATAAGATGCAAAAATTTATTATTATTATTTTTTCATGATTTAATGAGATTCCCGATTGGAGACACTTTGATTGTTGGTAGCACTAACATACAGACACACTATATGAATTCTTTTATTTTTTATTTCTTTTTTAAAAAAATTCTCTTTTTTTGTAAATATTTTTAACGGCAGTCACAGGTTTGAACTTTGCATATGTGTTAGAATTTCATTTCTTTTTTTTGTGTGGACAGAAAACAAAAATTTTCTACTTTGCGAATTTTTCTTTTCTCACAATTTCATTTATTAAATCATTTAATAGAGACAGGATATCCTTTTATCACATTAAGTTTTGTGGATTTTAAATACTTTTCATCTCTCAACTTTCTTTCTTATTCAATAAAAATTTAATTTAACATTTTTCGTTCACTTTTTTCCTCTCATTTCTCCGTAAAGTGTAAAGGAAAAACCTTTTTTTTGACTATTACTTTTTGACTATAATTTAACTTTGTTGTACTTTAAATCTCACGATGGCAAATTTTATTCTTTAATTTTGAACAAAATTTTTAAACATTTACACTTGATTATTCCACAAATCCATTATTTTTGTGTGCGAAAATTTTCGTTTATTTCTCATGTCTGCGTTTTTTAAGAGTACGATGAAGACTGAAGAGAAGTTGAGTGCAACATAAACCTTTTTATGTTGTACAAGACGTCGTCTGTTGACTTATTTCAGAGAGTATTCAGCGCTATTCTCTCACGGAATTTTTCTCTCAGAGAGAATTTTCTAGATGGAGAAGTCAATAAATGCACAGAGATATAAAAACAAATCTCGTCTCTATTTTATGTTGTCACGTGAAAATCTTTATCGTAAACTTTGTTCCTTGCAAATATCCTTTTTCCTTACGCCTTGTGACAATAAACGCCATCATATCCAACACATCCGTTTGGGGTTATTTACTTATATGTATTATAGGTTATTTGGCGGATGGAGAGGTAGGTGAGAGGGTCTGTTTGTTGTTCAATTACAGTGGTTGATAAGAAGTTCAGTAGCTTTTCAAAGGGCTCTCCAGTATCACATGTCTCAGTAGTGCAGTGCATAGAATTTGAAGCTTCCAGAAGCTCCTCTTCAGGGGCGCAGCCAGAAAATTTTTAAGGGGGGGGGGGCATTTTCGAAAATTAAAAAACCGTTATTTTGTATCCTTAAATCTATATTCATTCTTCATAAGTTTAAATATTTAATTCATTATTCATACATTAAATTTAATTTTTCGTGCTGATTTTGACATTTCTTTCATCACTTCCTCTACATTAACTGGTTCTTCTCTCTAAATACATAATAAAACAATTATCAGATTTTCGTAGGGGGGGCCCGAGCCCCCTATGCCCCCCCCCCTCTGGCTACGCCCCTGCTCCTCTTTAATAGGTGCCTTTTGCAAATGCCTAGCCATCACTTCCCATCTCGATATACCACAGCAGAGCTCCCTCCATCTTCTTAATAAAGTTGAAAAAGGTTAGGAAGCACTGCTCTATTGAATTTTTATCTACAAATGGGAAGAAGTTTCCAAAAAATACAATTTTTCATTGACGTCATTTACGAGCAACCCCATAAATATATTACTTGTATATTACTATATCCATTCAATTGATTGATATCTAAAGCGAGTTAAAATTTATTCCGACAATTTTCTCATTCATCTTTCTATCCACATTAACCTAAGGAAATGAGGAAAAGTCGACAGTTTATTAGTTTTCTTTATTCGTACCTCATTTTATGCCTATATTATAGTCAAAGAATGAATGAATGAGCTGAAAAAAATATAAATAAATATTATCTCATCTGATGAATGCGTTGTTTTATGCATGTGTATGTACTTACATATTATTTTCTCGCCCTATACATTTTTCTCTCGTTGGTGTTATGTTCTTACTCCGAGTGACATATGGCCAACATATGAGTGCTGTGCAAAAGAGCAACTGCTGAAACGATACTCAATGAAGCATTAAACATTTAATTGGTTTAGTTTATTGTGGTGAAATTAAAGATTGTGATGAGAATTTTTAATGGGAGAAAAGTAATCGAATAATGGGATTTTTATGTGCTAGTCGAGGTTCATGGTAACAATGGATGCTTATTTTTGATAAAGGGATTGTTCTTTGATTACGGTTGAATTATATTTATGAAGCTTATCCTAGCTAGCGCTTATTCTTACTAAGGCAACTAAACTGTTCCTAACCCAGGATTATCAGGGCCACACACTTATCCTTACTATGGACTGCATTATTAGAGAAGAAAGTCAGGTTGGAAAGGTCGGCTTAAAAAACTAAAAGATTAAAAATTGAACATAAAATTAGTCATCATTTATCAATAGCCCCTAATATCTAATGAGATTCAATACCATCAACAAATGATATGCTACCCGGGCGTGCATACATTGAGAGATAAATATTGTAAGGGCGTAAGGGTAGAGAAGCTAAAGAAGCGAGAATGAGAGATAGAAAAAGAAGAATGAGGGAAAAAATAAAATCTACATAAGTAAAGTGAAAAACACTTTCAATTTCTATGTTGTGTGTAAAATGTCGACAACACGAGAAAAATGTTAAAACTTCTCGCAACCTCAAGACAAATTTAGGGGTGAAAAAACATGAAATAACCTGCTTAAAAATTTCATTCACGTAGTTCGTCATGATTGAAATTTGTTTTGAATTTTATTTCTCTCCTTTTTCATGTTTAATGTTGTAGATCCTTACAAAATGTGATTCTTAATTCCTATTCCTTTTCCGTTCCTTCATCTTCTTCTACTTTTCTGCAATTTCATCTAATAATCGAAGGCAGGAATTCATAATGGTTTTGTGGGATGTTCAGAACAGATCATTTTCACAAAACTTTTTTAATCTCTTTTCGGTAGGTAGGAAGCATCCCTCAATTGATTGGGATTACCAATTCCACAGCAATCGAGAAGTTATTGAAAATCCTTATTGCCATAGATGTAAAATGCACAAATGTAAGGAAGAAGTTTTGTTTCTGTTTTCGAGATATATGTTTTGTCTTTTACAGCTGAATAAAGTTACATCTCTTGAGTATAGTTCCAACTTTTTTCTAAGAAGTGTCAAATGTCATTGCTAATGTAAGTTGCTAAGGGAGCCAAGGGACTTTGTTGAAGTAAAATTATGGCAATATAATGTTGTAGGAAATTCCTTAAAGATTTCTAAGCATATGATTGTTACATGACTTACTCAGAAACAAAGTTCAAAATTTAGCAAAATTGAGTTTCAAAGGTCTTAAAGAGCAATTTTGTTAAGTTTAATGTCTGACACTAGCCAGCATGCATCTAAGCAGGGATGAAGAAGTTAAGATGTCAAAGTCTTATCCAGTTATGACTACGAAAATTGATTGGAATTAAACATCGTGTAGATCTGCAATAATAATAATAATGTGTGAAGGGCCCAGCCTTTCAACTGGAGGCACTGCGATTCAAATTAGAACAGAATCTATTGTACCACACCCTATAGACCTACAGTTTATAGTGGGATCCGAACCACTTGCAAGCTCTGCACATTGCAAAGACACGAGTACGTCATAAGACCTGATGTACCCTGCAATGTACCTAGTCACAATTCGTGTGCGCAAGATGCCGTAAGGAAGTCATCCAGATGCTAGTATATCCTTGTATACCTAGCAAAGGAGGCATATTCTGTGCCAAAGACCTCAAAAATACACCCAACACACGAACCGAGCTTCGTAACTAGAACGGTGAAATGGAAAAAGAGCTTCGAAAATTAGACATGGCCTGGGATTGAAACCAGGACCTTTGGCACAGAAGGCCAACGCTCTACCATTTAGGCTACTGATGCCATTTCACCGTTGTAGATCTGCAAAGTTTCAATGAAAATCAAACTCACATTCTTAAAAAATTTGTTTCTGCCTGCTCACAGTCAAGGTCCTTGCCACTCGGTCACCAAGGTTGTCTCATTTTAGTTATCTGCTTTATAGAGCACAAGCTTCATTTAAGATATGCTTTTAAAGCCAAATCTGCACCTAGTTTCTAATCAATATCATCAGTTAAATATGTTATCCACATAATTCTCATCCTCTAACCCCTTTTACTTGAAAGAACATCCAACAAAAGTCTAGAAAGAGTCAAACTATCAGAAAAACTTTAAATACCTCAAACAAAAAAGTCTGCACATAAGTGTAGAATGGAAGATATCTATAAAATTAAAATTCAGATCCTTTAGTTTCACACATCCATTCATAATTTCAATGCAAACATTCAGGACGACCACAAAAGTCCGTATTAACACCCACTCACATACAGTCACGTAGTTTAAACACAATTCTTTTCAGAATTGCAAATTGATCTAAATTACGTCACATACTGTCAGCAAGAAAATGCCAAATCAAGTTTCTTTTGTTTCACATCGAGAATGGACGAAAAAGAAGAAAAATCCGTCAAAAGTTTTTCCATCCCACTTCCCATTCAGCATTTCTGCATTGATGACCTTCAGTTGGCAGGCAGGCAGCTAGCAAAAAAAAAATAAAACTTTATTTTTTTGCCTTTGTTTCTAGGTTATTGAAACTTTTATCACGAAATTTCCTCCTTCATGCCATAGCCTTTCTTTCTTTCCTTTGTTTTCCTTATTGCCAAGACTTTTTTTCCTTCATTTCCTTTATATTTCTTTCCTTTCTACCAAATCTTTATTCTTTTCTTCCTCCATCCTTTCTTTTTTTTTAGTTTTCAGTGCATTTATGCTGAAAGGAAATGTCATTTATATCTGCGCTTTGTCTGTCCGTTTGTTTGTTAAGCCGCTCTTCCAGTTTAAGCTTTGTCGATGTGATTTTTAATTTTCTTTTAATGGCAACATTAGCATAGCAAAGGAGAACAATCGTTATTGTAGCTACAGGCGTTTCCACTAAATGACACATCAAAAGCTGATGATTTTTGAAATTTTGTTGCTCTTACTATTAAATTATTCGTCCATATTGCTGTCATTGAATCAGCATCGCTGTGTTGTTAACGTCTTGACACTTTGGTACCATATGAGTATATTCATAGCTACTCTACGCCCGTGGTTATGTATACTTCGGATATTTTCTATTTGAATTGCATTTAATAGTGCGCTTAGTTCACTCAAAACTGACAAAGTTCATACTAGCTCCCCCTTTTATTTCCCATTTTTTTTTGTGAATTGTGCAGCACAA